ACATTTTTCCTCCCATTTTTTACTTTCTCTTGTACTTTTTTTACCCGGTTCAAATAGCCCTGCAAGCTCGGAGTCCGCCCCCTGCCTCCATCCCGTGTTGGTACATCAAACCAGACTTGGAGATTTATTTTTTAATGATGTAATATGTGACTTGAAACTGAAATTTTCACCACAAATTTCGGACGGAAAGATCTGAGGAAACAAGGTGAATCGACCTACCAGGTAAAAAATAATGGAGAGGAGAAGCCTGACGTCACGTTACCATGGTAGCAAAATTTCTGGATAACAAAAAATAGCGAGCTTAAGCAACGGCAACTTCGCAGTGAGAACGGGAAAAAAGCGACAGGTTTATATTAGCAAAACAACAACTTGGGCTCCTGACAAATCCAAACCACGATGCAGTCCACATAACGAAAAAAACACCCTTTACCCCTGTTTCACTGGAAGAATGAAATCGGTTTACTCGTGGAGTATCACACGCAATTTGGAAGATCGAGGGTTTAATTGAGGACGGTCCCGTTACGCTTCTTAAGGTTCAAGTTCAACCATAGATCGAGCTTCTCCAACCCACCCTGAAATTTTTGCAATTCGGATTTCTTTTTTTATTTTGTTTTGTTTTGTTTTTTTTTTTTTTTTGGGGGGTGGGGGTTGTAAAGCTAAAATTTTGGAAGGCTAGCTTAGCGGCCGTCGATTAATTAGGAATCCCTCAACTAAAACGATGAAACGAGACATCTTAATAATTAAATACAATATCAACACTGCACTTAGCAGATGGCTCCAGGCCCAAAACTGTTCAATCACCCATCTCTTTAATTTTACCCTATGGTTCAATTGCCCCACTCTATTCCCCTGTGAATGCCCAATAGACATAACATTTCAATAGCTAATTTATTTCCCTTAGCTTCCATTGAGTCTGGCCGTAAATCATTAGTATTTTTTCAGAATAATTTATATTTTTTAGCTCGGCAGTCACATGTAAGAACCCCCGTCCTGGACGCTTACAGCGGTAATGCAAGCGTTCTCTGGGGCGTGTTATTACTAGAATTCGTTCGTTGTATCATTGCTTTTTCATCTTACCGTGCTTTTTTAAAATATGAGAAGTTCCCTTGCACAAAAAAAGTACACTTGTTTTGCAGGCTTACTTGAAAATTTAGTTAAGCTCGACTTTCAAATTTTAATTTAGTAGTTCTAAATACACTCATGAATTAATAAATTGCGCTGTCCGGGAGCTGCCACTGCAATAGAGTTTTACAATTAAACAAACTGAAACTGAACACCCACAGTATAAGGCTGATATGGAAGAGCGCATGTACATGTAGCTACTGTGGAGTTCAGCAAAAAAAAATTGTGTCGATGGCTACTTCGCGGCTCATTCGTTTGTTTTTTCTGATCGTTTTAACGTTCTGGTCGTAAGTTTACTGGTGACATCTATCTCGGACTTCCGTGCGAGCGTTTTTGAAACTCAGAGTGGTAAGTTAACCCCTGCGGCTTTATAAAATGTATTTCGAGACCTTTTTCAATGTCTCTGGGGCAAAATATTTTTATTTTTCTAGTTTTAGTCTAAAGTAGAGTTTTTTATTACATCTTTTAAATACTCATCATTTTAATAAATCTAAGATAACAAACTCGCACAAAAGAGCACTTTGAAAGCATTTCCATTATTCCGAATTGTCTCATGTTAAAATTATTCTTAACTGTTTTTACTTTATTTTTACTTCTGTCGATTGTCACATGTATTTAATTCCAAGATTGTCACATGTATTTAATTCCAATTTAGCAAGCAAGAATATCTTTCATCATAAAATGTACAGCTAAATTCAATGAAAAAAGGTATGTCCTTGGACAGGTTCATGTTTAACCCTGCTGATGGTTTCATATTCCTTCGTTTTTCGTAACTTTATCTTTCAGACCATATTTTAGTTGATCATGTCATGAATGCGTCTACTGTTGTTAACGAGTTTGAATGTCACCACAAATGCCTCAGAAATAACAGTTGCAAGTCATTTAATGTTCGTCCTGGTGCAGATATTTCAAAACGACTTTGTGAGCTGAACAACAAAACACGCAAGATGACGCCGGAAAGCCAGTTCAGAAAGATGAAAGGATCTTCTTATTATGGACCTGTTAAGGTGAGTTCTACTGATTGAACATCAACCATGGGTTTTCACTTAACAAATAAAGAAGCCCTAACTGTGTCCTGTTCTGTTGTAAAGTACGCAGTGAGAGGCCGCCGAGAGCATAGGCTACGGGCCGCCGGCGGGGCGAGGGGGCTGCAGCCCCCAAATTTTGGGCAACTCAGATTTTGGGGCAGCAAGAGAAAATTTGGCAAAGCCAGTTTTCAAAGACGTTTCCATGTTTTTTTATTAGTCTAAAGAGACAAATATTTTCTATTTTAACCTGAAAAAAATCCTGAAGTCAGCGTAATAATCCAGTTACTTTCTCTCGAGACACTCACAGTGGTTTCCTAACACGTGATGAGTTCCTGGTTATAAGGAAGGGTATCATTTGTTGATTTACATATTTATAATTTTTTTTTGTTGAGCACCGTACTGCACTGCACTGACTGGAATGGGCTCTTTCTAGTCGTGAATTGATTAGAATAAACTTCCGCATATCTTTCTAGAATCATCTCCGCTCGTAGAACAGTGTATGGCAGATAGCATCAGCAACAGTGGGTGTGAAAATGAAGAAGTGGCTAACTTGTGCTCAGCTCGAATTACGAGAAGAATATTAAATTTGTTTAAAAATCTATCAAGCAATAATTTATTAAAGTAGACCGAAATGTTTACAAAACCGCTAACAAGAGCGCCTCGATACATACTAATGAAATCCTTGTCTCTAGCAATCGGCCGGAGCTATCTCGATGATCATATCTTTTCCACACATTTTTAAAAAGATTGAAGCTACCATGAGGTGAAATTGCTTTTCAAAAGAGCTTCGTTTTCTACAAATAACGGCCAAACATCAAGATATTTTTTAACCATATTTATAACGATAAAAACTTCATCCCAAAATATCCCAATAACACTGCTATAGATTCCTTTTTAACTTCACGAACATCGAGGCGACTATTGGAGAAAAAAGCTCCCGTGAAAAATTTTGTAGGAACAGTTCCCAGTGCCGAGAAATATTGCTGCAAGTAAAATAGACAATGGCGTCATTTCGTTGCTATGACAATTCCGATGTCATTAAAACCCTGCTCATGATGAATTTTCATCTTTATCTAATAAAACTATGGTAGCAATTTTTCCAAATGTTTGTCTATGGCGACGTAGTTATTCTCCAAATTAGGAGGTATTGACCCTGAAAAACTGTCATAGCATCGAGCCACCTTCATATGCCAGTACGGCCTACATTATTGCATCGTATGGCCCTCTTTTCTTTTCTACTGTTTCGTAAAAATTTGAGCAACTTGCGAGAATTTTTTGGACAAATGGTTTACCGCCTCCCCTGGCAAAAAATTGCCCGTACGCCTATAGCCGAGAGCACGGAAAAAGTGTAGAGGGAAACAGGAGACGAAGTCGAGTGTTTCTCCCTACTTCTCGAGTGTTTTAATTAGCCGCTTCCTAAGCACTTTACAAAAGAACAGAGCACAGTCAAGGCTTCTTCTTTATTTGTTTTATGATAAAGAATCCGTTAAATTTCCCACGCGTTCTTATTTCAAAACAAACTTTTTTTTTAAAGCGAACGTAAGTGTCGTCATCGTGTTCTACACTGACTCTCATAAAACACGCTTAAAATAGCCAATCACAATCCTTTTTAGAATGGGCCAAATGATATGATTGGTTGAATAAGCCAAAAGCTGTCAAAGCTGTCAAAGACTCAAAGATATCACAAAGTGAAACGAGCTAAATGTTCTATGAATTTGAATGCAGAAGAAATGTTATTTTTACGTCCAAAACCAAAAATTGGGTTTCTTAAGGTAAAAACTGCTTTTAAATCCGGCCAATTCGGCGGTCTATAAAAACCTACACGTCATCAACATGACAATTTGGAAACAACTGTTTTAGCTTCCGATCGAAAAAACTGAATCTGAAAGTAAGATAAGATTCGACTTCGCAGAAGTGATGTTGTAGTCTCGCGATCGTGACAACTTTAGCTCCGTGTTTTATACTCTCATAAAACATGCTTTTTCCACCAATCAGAGTGCGCGTTATAGCTGAGCTTTATAATAAAAAAGACTTCAAGAAAAAACCTTGGCTAAAACAACTTAAAAAACTTGTTGTTTACGACGAACACCCTGTTCGGTTTTATCGTATTTCAAATAAGAGATAACAGACAAATATTTAAGTTCTTACACTTCCGGCTCAAAATCTCTGGATTTTCGAGGTCTCCTCATGAATTTACTGATATTATAAGAATTCAAGTAGTTATGTTTTCAGAACTCTAGTATATATCGTAAATAGAGAATACTTCAAGTGGCAAGTGCTGGCGTACGGTATTTACGCACGAGTTGTTGACGTATCAGAAATCGAAAGAGTGAGCGCAGCGAACAAGTAAGATTTCTGATACAAAAACAACGAGTGCGTAAATACCGTGCAAAGCACTTTCCATGTGGTATTGTGTTTATTATATACATACTGAGACATTCATCATTTTGGCGGCCTTTTTATTTTAAATCTTTCAAAAATGCTAAAATTTGCCGCTACACACTTACCGCAAAATGACAACGAAAACGAAGTATCAGCTTTTTAATAAAAACGTTTGTTAAAAACATAAATGACGGTGAGGATATGAGGTAATCCAAGAACTATAAGTAATCTTAACTGTTTGTTCTCAATGCACAATTGAAAATGAGTGAATTTAAGGAAAATGGTCGGTTTCAATATAAGCTTAAGCTTAAATGAAAGACAAAGTAGTTCCGACAAAAACCGCAACAAAAGCTTACGTCTCGTTCTGTTTATCCCTTTCGGCTGTTGTTTCGCCGGCTCTCTACCGTTTTCTTTATCGACAGTGAAACAAACGAAACTATTCCACTCCATTTCCGAAATTTTTTTTCACTTTTTTAGCGAGAAATACTCTTTGAGTAAAACTTTTCTCGTTGAATGTGTGCGAAGCGGCACTGTAAGCTGCAATAAAAGGCGGGAATTTTGGCGCGAGACTCACACACCTCTGTGGCTTCTGATTGGACGTATCATTTTTCTCACACGTGAAAAAACATCGTTCGCGAATCTGATTGGACGTATCATTTTTGTTTTCACGTGTGAAAACCATCGTTTGCTCCTCTGATTGGCGAGAACTAATTTGCGTACGAAAATTTACGACATAGCTTTTTGGTGAGTATTTCTCAGTATGTATATTATAAATAATAGTTTTGATAACATTTTGTTTTAAATAACGATTTTTCTCACTGGTTTGCCTGACTGGCTTAAAGCAGCTTAAAGGATAAATGTTTGTTATTACTCACACGGTAAATATCGTTTATGGAAGAAAATAGAAAGAAGGTATACTATCAACATATTTACTTGTATTGCTTCTAAAGCAAATAAAACTGATGAAAACCAAAGCACATGATGACGTCATCCATAGTTTTAAGATATTGTTTGATGTTTGTAATTTCAATTCGTTATTTTCTTATCAGGTTTCCTGCCAAGATTTGCCGACCAAGAAGAAGAAACAAACTGGTTATTGTCATCCGAACTACAAAGGAAAAAGATGTGAAATTCGTGAGTAAAGCTCGTCAATTTTTCAATTTTTCAATTTGATTGTATGATTACCACACGGCGGAGCAAATATTTACCATAAATAGTCATTTGTTTTATTATCTGCTGCAGCAAGGCGAGGCTGGAATTCCAAGGACCCTGCTTATTCCTGTAAGAGCATCCGGGACTCTGGTGACTCTAAAGGAGACGGGAGGTACTGGATCGACCCTGAGAAAAGTGGAACCCCATTGAAAGTTTACTGTGACATGACAACTGATGGAGGTGAGATCTGCTCCTAAAAAATCTGAAATCGTGAGCAATTATAACTCATTCAAAGTACTTTTCCGTTTCTGATTGAAATAAATTCCCTGACTTATTCTTTATAAACAGCTACCATTATCAAATTTAAAGACATCTACGTCAATTGTACAGATATCTTTTGAGCGAGGGACAGCCGAAAGCGTGGTAGTTCATTTTTTTAGCAAAGCTGAGGATTCCCTTATTTGGCCAAGACTGAATAGGGTATGGTTTTCAGGGTAATACAAGTTTACTAATTTACGTCTTAAACAGCGTATCTTTTCTGACTGGAAGCGAAAGCTGGCGATGCGCGGTCTACATACCGAGGTACCAACAATATATTTTCAAAAAAAAACTCTAATTTCATGATGTTAATATAAAAAGCACCTCTAAATTCCTTGTGTAAAACGAAGTGAATCAGAGTTCTGAAATTAGGTCTCTTGTCTTTAACAGGGTGGCAAAATAAACAATTTTTTGTCTTAAACAGGGTTAGGGCTTGAAGGGCTGGGCGACTCCTCCCCCACCCCACCCCCATCCCGGAGGATTTCATACGTTATGCGTGGGAGACAGCCGTTGAACTACTGTCTAAACATGTCACCGTGGCAATGAGTGACAACGGCGTGCTAAAATATGCATCCCGATGAGGCCTTTCAAACTATTTTGCTTCAAAGACCTTCAATAAATTTTGCAGCGTTATTATTTTTTCTTCGCGGCATCAACAGGCAGCGTATTTTTGGACTCAATTCGATTGCGTGACCGAAAATTACCTTGAATGGTGAACAAAACAGGCTGATCTAAATTGTCGAAATAGCATATTGCTCTTACATTCTCTGCATTACGTCATAAAAGTTATGTAGCACTACCTTATTTTACATCGCTTCGAGATTCATTCTGCCTCGGAACTTTCGCGCGTGACTTTACTATGGCGCCGCCTCGCAGTCTCGTGTCTGCTCGTTGGCAATTATTTGAATAGCTGAAGAAACAAGTTGGGGTGCGTTTCTTTACAAAAAATACCAAAACGGATTATTGATACAAATGATCTACAATAAGGGAGGATTCTTTGTATCATATCCAAAACCGCATACTTTGGATGCATGATCCGAAGCGTTTCTTTACTACGGATCCGAAAAGAGTGAATACAGTCGGCGGTAACTCGAAACAATTTTAATACATACAGCAGCTGTTTTGCAACGTAACGCTGCTCATCTCAACGGCCATTTTTAAACTCGAGGCATGAATTAAACGATTGACTTTATCCCGCGTAATTTTTATCGGGATAGTAAAATCGCAATACAAACGGGACTTGCATTGTTCTAGTTCTAAACGGCAAGTCGAGACACTTCGCCGGAGCGACGTGCATCATTTTACAATAACGTTTCACGATGGCGAGACTGTTCAGTCAGATCAATCTGCTCTATCCTGCGTAGTAGCAGGCGTCGAAAGGGGTAGGGGATAGAGAGGAAGGGAAAAAGGAAGGGGGATTGGGGAGAGAGGGTAAGGGACGCCTGCTATAAGAACCCCCTTTTGTTCATTGCTGCGGACGCTGGCGTTCGCAAATTCCTGTTTGGCTGAGCCGTAATGAATAACTTATTGGCGTGTATCCTGGCGTATATTAGTGAGAGACAAACATGATGAAGGCATCAAGGAAATGTGTTCTACTGCCATAAGCTTTGGAAGATCAAAATTACTCCAATCATGCAGCAAATTAAAGTTAAAACCCGAACTGGAACCAACTGTAATAGCTTTAAAAAATAATCCTGAAAGCCATCACGTAAGGCCAGAATCGCTTGAGGCTTTTCAACCCACTTACGCATCAAGCAAGGTGAAGTAGAGTAAGCTACATTTTGAAAACGATGCCATCCGAAATCGGATTTCCGATGAATTCCACAAGCGGTGTATTTGTCAACCAAAAATCCATTAAACAAACCATCCACGAATAACAGAAGAATCTTAATAGCGAGCTGCATTTAATGAATTTTGTACATCCAGTGGAAAAAGACAATTAAAAGCATCATAAGATGACAAAAACCCCGTCAGCCTCAGCTATCTGCGTAAACAAGTTTCCAAATGCTGCAAAATATTTCCACATGAATTCACCAGTCAAATTTTGACCAATCGAACAAAAAAATTGGGAGTAGAGCATGGCCAGCGCATGACTATGGTGAGAAAAGCATCTGCCTTCCCTGCGTTTTAGAAGCTGACTAAATTTTCGCGTCGGAAGTCAGTTTGAAATCAAAATTTTAATTGTTCAGCTCATAAACACAACTTATTTAGTGTGCATTGAAAAAAAATTGACTTTGAATCTGCGAATATTTGAAAACTAGTAACTTCTCAGTGGATAACTTCAAAAAAAACGTACACTCGATGGGTCAAGAAATAAGCCCTCGATACGGTCAAGTGACACTGGTCAGCGGATACTCTGTTATGACAGCTGTCAACTGACCACGACATGGATGTGCTAAATCAGGTTGCAGGCTCCCAAACTAGCTAGAAAGTGTGAGATTTAATATTGGTTTCCCTGTTGTGCAGACGGACGGATGGTCACGTGACTACTAAATTTTCTCAGACAGATAGAAGCGCGCACGTCGAGCTTCCCTATTAAAACAGCCATTCTTATTGATTTTACAGAATGTAGAACAAATAATAAAATACCTCTTTATCTTCACATTTTTTTCAGGAGGCTGGCTTCTTATTTCCAACATCACGATGGAAAGTTCAACTCCTCCCTCTCAGCTGCCAGTCAAGACTTCATACCGTGGAATAACCAGTGATCAGATGGTTCTCACAAAAACCGCCATGAATGAGTTGAGAACACACTTGTCTTTCACCCAACTGAGATTCCACTGCAGTAAAAATAATGGACGTACATTCCACGTGACCACTGCTGCTGACAGCTCTGGTGAAGCTGTAGTGAAGTACCTCAGCGGTCAGACGGATGCCCAGCCCGCCTCGTGTGGCTCATACGTCAGAATGGAAAATGACAACTCAAGGTTAGCAGGTGCTTGCCAAAATTGGGAATTGGCTAAATGGGGCCATGCACCATTTGATGAAGAGAGATTATACAACCACCCTGCTTGGGTTCCTTATTTATATCATTGGGCGCTTAATCATCCAGGCGGCAGTGGAAGATGGGAATGCGATGATTATCTTGTTGGCGTGAACACCGGTGATTTCTGGAAAATTTACGTTCGCTAAAATGTTTGTGTGTTGATGTCTGTTTTTATTGATAGTCTTCAGTGGCTGTAGAAGTTTCAACTTTTTAACCCGCCAATTTATTCATTTACAAAAACGTCTTTCTAGAAGGAGCGAGGACCATAAATAAAAGGCTATAATCAGTAGGCCATTTGCAGGATGACGTCATTTACTACTACTACCAGAATGCTTCAGTGTTTTGCTTTCTTGTGCAAATTAGAGCTTTTGGTGAGGGTGCCAATTGGTTAACTGCTTAACGTATAAAGGCCTTTTTTCACTATCGTAAACGTATAAATTACAAAATATCAACTGACAAGTGTATAAAAACAGGTAATTGTTTAAGCGTATAAAGAGCGAAGTAGCCCCAAAAGTTAGAAATTGATTAATTCAAACAAATGAAGACTTTCTGACATGAAAAGACGATATGGTGAGACAGAATGATAGAGATGTACTTGACAATCTTCCCTACACTCTAGTCTGTTCGCTGACGTATATGCGACTGCAGCGTCATTCTGTGATTAAGGTGATTCCCTGGTTTTGCACTGCGCATCTCTTACTGCGCATAACAAGATGGCCTCCGTAAAAAAGAGCATGTGAAGTAACATTATTCAAATGAAGTTGACCGAAGAGAAACGCTATTGCAATTTTTGCTTGCGGTTGTTTCTTGCCGAGGTGAGACTCAATTTGGTGTGAATGTGCACAACGTAAGCAGTACGCGTGTTGCTGAGTTCGACTTCCTCACGGAGAACCTCGATAGTGGAAGTTTAATTAGTGCTTATTCACTTTGATTTTCATTTAAACGCTTTCTTTATCTCGATGTAAATTCTGTAAAAACGGATTTTTTAATACTTCCTTCCCCCTTTCGCATACATTCTATTTTGAAACTCGCCCCAGTCCTCTCTCAAAAATCAAGGAAAATGCATTTGGTGCGCACTTTCTGCAGCTCTACCGCAAAAACGAGTACGGTTACCCCCATTTTTTATTTCATGATTTTAATAAGGACAGTGCTTCCTTTCGGTGAGAAAAAATTGGCACAAATCTATGTTCAGTTTTTTGGCAATTTTACTAAATTGTACGGATTGAGCTATCACGTGTCGAATAGCGCGTGTCCAATTTAATTCTACTTTGGAGCGTAAAGAAAAAACAAGGGCATTAAAAGGCATTTTTCTGGTACGTAAGTGGATAAACAATATATTAAAGTCAAATTCTGTGCGATACCACATGCATCATTGAAAAAATCTTTCCTTTTTGTCTAGTTTTGGACTGCGCGCGGTTTTTGTCAGAGGGTCCAAAATAGCCGTATTTGTCAGCATTTTGACGTCAAAACGAGCACGGTGATCCCCACTTTTTATTACCTTTTTATCATCCTCTTGACTTGTTACATCAGAGTACCAAGTTTCATCTACAATCTATGTTAGGTTCTTTTACTAGGGAATCACCTTAAACCTGCATTCGAACTGCGTGCGGTTATGTCTCTAAATTCAAAGGGAAACAGACAACTATTTCACAGTTAAAAAGACGGAATCTTGTTTTGATACAACCCTTACTGCTTTCTTGTGTAAATCACGTTGTTCTTATGCTTAACGTGAAGACTAGGTTATTATAAGCCCACAACTGTAAAATGGTTTATTTTCTCACTATACCTCTTTGCTTGCGTGATCTTGCAAATAGGTGTTTGTATTGCCTGTAATGCGGCGTAATAATACTGAATGAAGTCTAATTCCGCCTGTAATCTTATGAGCGATAAAACAAAATCGGAAGCGCGCGCAACCGCGTTAAGCGATAATCGGATTTGTCTAATCCTCTGATAAGTATAAATTACAGATTGTTAATTGGACAAGAAGTTTTAGTACCGATTCCCTTGCCTTACCTTCAGAACACATTCAAGAGTGCGCGTGCAATGGCGCATACTTCATTTTTCTGTCCAATTATACTAACTTACGCATGACACGTACTTTCCTATTACATCGTCCTATTAAATTAATGCTGAAATCAGGGCTGCCGATAGCCAATTAGATTAGATAATTTTGTTTTAGTTATGACAAGCGGGACAATGACTGTGCATAGAAATTCAGATGTCATTGAGCGCTTTTGTTCAAGAATTTTATTCACAGAAAGAGGATGAAGAGAAGAGTGGTGCTGTCGTCCAGGCTCAACACCGAGACAAATCAGGGCGTCGGTTAGGCTGGATTTGTAAAAAAAATAGTTCACTTCAGACTGATTTGATGAAGTGTTAAAGAAAATATGACAAACCAGTACACTGAATCCTGGAAAAGTGGGAGAGAACTTGGGAGTCTTTGTGAAGTGACTGATTTGGGAACCCCATCCTATAAACAATTTTAAGGTCTGCGGGGCTCTCAATCATGCCAATTAACTGACTAAACGTTTTTTGCTGCATACTGACTAACTAGTGTTATTTTAGCTGTTCACTGACTAAGTAGCATATTTTTAGCTGTTTACTGACTACAGCTATACCCCATTGACACCCTCTTTGTTATTTAAACCTCGCTGGGATTACAAAATTTAAATATGGAAGGAAAAACGAAATTGATTCTGGTGGTAAAAGTACCAGTAGTAAAATAACGCCATCGGGCAAATGGTCTATTGCTGACTTGGATGAAAATATCTTGATTATCCAGCGATTTATATAACATGAATAAGTTATAGCTGTTACGAGAGATTTTTCTTATATTTATCGTTTTCAGTAAGCCTTATATCCGTTTTTATTTATTGTATTCTTGTTTCAAGTACCTGCTATAAATAAAGCCACAAAATGCTCATGCCACGGCATTGTGTCGTTTGCTTTCAATTGTGTCGCATGCACTTTAAAGTCTCTAAATATTAAATTATCCTAGAAAAGCCAACTAGAGAGATTATTTAGAAGCAAGCAAACTGAGGCTCAGGCGGGTCCGGCTTCGAACATTTCATGAGACGATCCAAACTGAACGGATTAAGTTCATGATAAGTTTGGCGTCTGTCTCAGTTTAGCTCGTCTGAATATCAAAGTTTGCCGGATCGACAAACAGGTTCTTCTAGTCCTCTTCAGACGGATAGGAAGCAGGGTCGTAGCTACCTGTTCGTACGGTACGCACGTACGTACATTTAAAAGTCGAGGGTAAAAAAAAAAATAATAATGAGATACAAAAGTGAATAATGAAAAGAAAAAGATACAAAGGATAAGGTAGATGAAAGTTAACTATTTTAAAAGCACAGTTCGGCTCAATTCATTTCACAACGGACTGTTTGATTTTTCTTTTTACACCCGAACGTCGGCTTCCAGGAAAGAGACGTGATTCACTGGGGGACCGAATCTTCAATTGTATATTACAAATACCTTGGTGTGCTAATAGATGCAAATCTCAATTTCAAACAACACGTGGATAAGCTAGTGGTTAAGATTTCCAAGAGAATCGGTGTCCTCGGAAGAATTAGAAACAATCTAACTGTCGATGCAGCCAATAAAGTTTATCAGTTTCTTGTTCTGCCGATTACGGATTATTGCGATGTTGCTTGGAGCAGCATTGCGAAAATAGAACGTGATAAGTTAGATGGAACACAAAGAAGGGCAGCTAGGATTGTTTTGAAGACCAAAGATTCAGACGCCGAGAAGAATTTAAAGTGGCTTCCCTTGTCTATGAGGCGTGATATGCACACTATTAATTTGACTGTTAAATGCTTGAAGGGATCCCCTCCAATGTTTTTTAAAGATTATTTTAAGGTTTTTAGAACAGTCCACAACACGAGGGGAGGTGGGCACAACTTGCTGCTTCCCAAAGTCAGAACTGAGACGGCAAGGAAGTCTTTTTATTTTAATGGATCTGAACTATTTAATAATATTGCAAGTGAAATGAAGGATTCTAAGTCAGTTGTGATTTTTAAAACTCTTATTTTAGAATTATATAGATCAAAATTTTTTTAGTTACTTGTTAAGTTTTTGTATTAGTTTAGCTTTTAAATGCATTTTAATTGCTGTATTTTAGATTTTTTTTAAACAATTTTTTAATCTTGTATTTTTAACTTTTATTGCATTTTTAGTTACTGTAATTTAGGCTAGTTTTATATAGATATACATTTTTTATTTTCTTTTTCTTTTTCCAGGGCCCTCATTGATAGCAGCATTTTATGCTGAAGAGATAACCCTGGCTAAATAACATTTATTATTTATTTATTTATTTTGATTTCAGACTTATTTTGTTGAGAGTATTCGGATCACTTCGTAAGCGTTCATATAGTCTTCATACAAAAAAACGCATTCGGATTCCCAACAGTTTAAACACATCGATAAAAATGAGTGGATTTAGCAAGGACGACGGCGATGTTGTTTGGAGGACGTGAAAATAAACACACGACTATGATTTTTTTCATCCCCAGTTCAAACTTGGGTGCGGTCCCCAAGGATTCAACTCTTCTATTCATTTGCCGTCTTCAGCAAGTTGGAAAAACGCAAAAGTTTGAAAAAACGCGAATTCGTTTCAATAGTGACGTACTTCTTGCTGCCCTTGCCATCAATATTTTAAAGCACCCTACATTCACGAACGTGACACTTTCATTTTGGTTTTACCCGCTTCGTGTGGCTCATATTTCAGAATGGAAAATGATAACTCAAGGTTAGCGGCTGTTTGCCAAAAGTGGGGATGGGGAGCAAGCTGGGGCGTAGGATTTGATCAAGAGAGATTATACAGCCACCCTGCTTGGGTTTATGGTTCATATCTTTGGGCCCTTGATCATCCGAATGGTGGACAAGCAAAAAGATGGGAATGCGACGATTATCTTGTCGGCGTGACCACCGGTGATTTCTGGAAGATTTACGTTCGCTAAAATGTTTGTGTGTTGACGTCTGTTTTATTGTTAGTCTTATTGGCTGTAGACGTTTGAAAAGTACTAGTAGTAAAATGACGGCATGGTACAAATAGCCCATTGTTAACTTAGATGAAAATACCTTGATTTTCAAGCCATTTATAAAATATTTATAAGAAAAATTATAACTGTTAGAAGAGATTTTTCTTATATTCGTCATTTAAAATTTGACTTATATCAGTTTTCGTACATTGCATTTAGCTTTCGGGTATTAGCTTTGAATAAAGCCACAAAAAGGTCATGCCATTTAATCATTGAGCTGTTTGCTTTCAATTGTGTCGCATGCACCAAAGTCACTAAATATTAAATTATCCTAGAAAAGCCAACTATAGAGCTTATTTATAACCAAGCAAACTCAGGCCCAGTTAATTTGTCTCAGTCTCAGCAATGGCCTATACGGGAGCACTGCTAGAAAGGGGTACCCGTTTGTCAGGTGTCAGGTATAAGAAATGGTGGGGATTTTACTCAGGTTAAAGTGTAAGAAAGGGCAGGGAAATCTGTCTGGAAAAAGACCTAAAGTTGCCAGGAGAATTTATGGCTGTGTCGAGAACATTTCCTGGTTTTGTGATTTATTTACATTTTAAAGACAGTGCATTTTTAACAGTTAAAAGGGATGCAACGTTCTAAATTAGGTATAAGAAAGGGATCCTTTTTTTAATGCAAGATATACGGATAATAATATTAAAGCTGAAGTGTTGAGTGATGAATTTGCTTCAGTTTTCACAGATGAACTGAATCTACTGATTTAACATCCCAAGTAAGGGCCCTAGTATGATCGCAGACATCCCCCCTCTGAAGTTTGAAGTTTGAGGCATAACACGCTTGTTAAGAAACATTAACGCCAAAAAGGCCTATGGTCCTGACGATATCTCTCTTGCTGGGTTTTGAATAGCCTCCCATGCAGGCGTTTTTAGGGACTTCTGTCGCAGTCACGTTTGTTTGAATGAGTTTGGATCGACTAAAACCAAGGCCAAACGCCGAACTTTTCATGAGACGAACCAAACTGAGTGATTTAAGTTAATGATAAGTTCGACGTTTGTCTCAATTTAGCTACTCTGAATATTAAAGTTTGCTGGATCGGCAAACAAGTTCTTCTAGACCGGTCCGCTAAAGGTCGATTCTCAGAGACAAACATGGCAGACATCAAGTGAACATGTCAATAAAGTGTTTGTATTATCTGGGCCCGGGGGTACTCCCCTACGTATCTATGTGCCACCCCAAAGGGTTTTTGTCCCGTTTTGGTCTGAAAACGGGTGTAGACTTTTGGTCTGGAATCGGGTATGGTTTTCGAGGGCACTACGGGAGTGTACGAACGTATTTATTGTTTCAGTTCCATATGAGTAAGAAAGAAAAAGAAATATGCCAATTCGAATGGATTGCATTGTTCCTGTTGTAAACTAAGTAATGATGACATAATTTCTTAAAGGCCAGGTCGCCCCCCCTCCCAAGAATTCCCAGAAATGCCCCGTCGGGTATCTCGGTTTCCGTAAAATGCTGTTTATTCATTAAAAATTAATATATTGAGCTGTTTTTCGGAACAAAGAGAATCGTCTGTTATAAACGGGTTTCTGCAAAGCAGGCTTCCAACAACGACTTTAAAATGTTTCGCGCTCTTTATTACTTTTCAACTTAGTTCGACGTTGGTGACCCAGTAGTCTAACTCAACTGAAGTAAGGTCGACCCAAATAGTAATTTGACTCGTATTAAAACTTCGACGTCTACCCCCCGCTCAAATTGCAAACACCAGCCGCCCGATTACTTAGTTTCCGAGCCAATATCCAAAATAGACAACATATTCGATCTTTTTTCCCTTTAACTCGGTTAGGGTAGCTTTTTTAAAGTCTCTAAGACAAGTTGTCTGTGCTCTCTCTTCCCGCTGGGAGCCTGATAGTTTTCATCCAAATTTACAATTTTCTTTTCAGTCTCTGCGACTTTTTTGCGATTTGTTTCGCAACTTTATTAATTATTTTGACGTACTTAATAAGGTCTGAAGCCCGCGCGCCCTATCCCTTCGTTCGAACCTAACCTAATAACAAGCCAACAAAAATGCTTTGCAAAATTCACTGACGAATTGAAACAAACCCAAACTACGACACAGTCCACACAAAAAAAAACACCCTTTACCCCTGTTTCACTGGAACGTTGAAATTTAATAGTTTTCTCGTAGAGTATCACTAGGAATAATTCGGACGATCAAGGGTTTAATTGAGAACGGTCGCGTTACGCTTAGTAAGGTTCAAGTTGAACCATAGATCGAGCTTCTCCAACCCGCCCTGAAATTTTTGCATCTTTTTTGTTTATTTTTTGTTTTTAAAGCTGAAAAGTTTTCGGATATGTAACCTGCTGAGGCAGCGCAATTTGGCTAGGTATAAGTGGCCATCTATTAATTAATAGTCCCTAAACTAAAAAGATAAAACGAGACATCTTAATAATTAAATACTATATCAACACTGCACTTAGCAGATGGATCCAGGCCAAAAACTGGTTCAATCACCACTCTCTTTAATTTCCCCCCTATGAATGCACAATAAATATGCCCAGGCAATAGCTCATTTATTTCCCTCAGCTTCGATTGAGTCTGACCGTAAATCATTAGTATTTCAGAAAACTGAATTATATTCAGTTTAGCAGTCACATGTAAGGAGCCCGGCCCCGGACTCTTAAGGCCAGTAATGCTGGCGTTCTCGGGGGGCGTCAGTCTTATTACTAGAATTCGCATATATTATTGCTTTTTCATCTTGCGGTGCTTCTTTTAAAATAGACGTTTCCTTGAACAAAAAAGTACACTTGTTTTACAGGCTTACTTGAAATTGAAGTTTAGCTCGACACTTATAAGTAAAATCTTTTTTAAGCAGTTTTATTTAGTACTTACAAAAACACTTATGAATTATAAATTGCTTTGCATGGGAGCTGTCACCGCAAAAGAGTTTTACAACTAAACAAACTAATTAAAAACGGAACAACCACTCTATAAGGCTGACACTTAATAGTCGGCGCGTACAGGTAGCACAGTGAAGATCACAATCAGCCAAAAATTTTCCTTCGATGGCAGCTTCACGGCTCATTCGTTTGGTTTTTCTGACTGTTAATGTTCTGATGGCAGTGGTACTGGTGATATCCAACTCGGACTTCTGTGCCAGCGTTTTTGAAACTCAAACAGGTAAATTAACTCCTGCGGCTTTGTAAAACGGTTTTCTAAAACGTTTTCTAAGATGCAAACAAACTACCGTTTTTTTTTTTGGTTTTTTTTTTTCAAAGTTTAGTTTTCAGTAGACTCTTTTATTACACGTTTTAAATGGTCATTTTGATAAATCTGAGATGACAAACTTGGGCATTTTAAAAGAATTAGTTTCCTCTTATCGACTTTATCTGATGTTAAAATTGCTTACAACTTTTATCACTTTTTTTACTTCTGACGATTCGCGCTTGTATCAAATCGCAATTTTGCAAGCGAGTATATCTCTTTATCGTAAAAGATTATAAAACTGTTCAGCTAAAAAAATGAATTAATGTATGTCCTAGCTTTATGTTAAACTCCACTGTATTTTGCTTATTCCCCTGTTTTATATTACTTCATGTTTCAGACCATGTTTTAGTTGGTCATGTCATGAGTACATCAACTGTTGCTGACGAGTTTGAATGTCACCAAAAATGTCTCAGAAATAACAGCTGCAAGTCGTTTAATGTTCATCCTGGTGCAGATATTGCAAAACGACTTTGTGAGCTGAACAACAAAACACGGAAGATGAAGCCGGACGATTTCATTAAGAAGAAAGGATCTTCTTATTATGGACAAGTTAAGGTCAGATCCACTGTTTGAACATAAACTATCGCTTTTTTATAAAACTGTTATTTAAAAAAACTCTAAACTCTAAACAACTAATTAGGGACCTTAAGATCAGACGACGGCGACGGCAACGAGAACGTCATAAAAGCAATAGGTTTTTAAAACAAGCAAGTTATTAAAATAAGAAAAACAACAAGAAAAAAACAACTTTCCTCGTGCATAACACTTTTTTGTACATTTCTTTACGTTTTGCACGACAATGACGTTAAAATGCCTAATTTCATGTTTTATAGAGGATGTCATTAAAACATTCAAGCAACGACGAGATTTTCTCTCTCTTTCTTACCTTGGGTAAGGTTCTTAGGAATTCAACTCCAGGAGAGTTCGTGTACATTCGACAAAGTAAGCGTGATGGAACAATCGCGATGACGATGGAAAACCGCGAAAACATTTTTAAGCGACGTTTTACCTGCTGTCGCCGTCCTCGCATCTTAGGGTCCCTATTAAAACATTTGTTTACCACGATCACCCTGTTCGGTTTTTTCGGAATTTTAACAGATAAGTATTTAATTTCTTAGACTTTTCGGCACAAATTCTACGGAGTTTTGAGATCAGCTTCTTACGAATTGCTTCATGTTATGCGAATTCAAGTGGTTATCTTTGCAGAACTCTAATATCGTAAATAGTACTTTTGGCGACATTTTCTTTTAAATAATGTTTTTGGCACCGGTTTGCCTGTGTCTTAGTAACGTATATGTTTTTACCCACACGAAAAATATCGCGTATGGCAGGGTACAAGAAGAAGGTATATCAATATATTTAACAATCATCATGAGTATCATCTAAAAAATTATGGAGATCGAGGAGGGTGTTATCTGCCTCGACCAATCAGAAACAGAGAAATATTTTGAATGAATAATAATTATTTATATTACTTCTAAAGCAAACAAAAGTGGTAATAACTAAAGCACATAATGACGTCATCTATAGTTGTTATCTATTGTTTGATGTTTCTCATTTCAATTCCTTATTTCCTTCTCAGGTTTCCTGCGAAGATCTGCCCACCAACAAGAAGAAACAAACTGGTCATTGTCATCCGGACTACACAGGAAAAAGATGTGAAATTCGTGAGTAACGCTCGTCTATTTTTAAATTTGATTTTACTATTGCCTCACGGAGGAGCAAATATTTACCATATATAGTCTGTTTTATTATCTGCTGCAGCAAAGCGAGGCTGGAATTCCAAGCTGCCTGCTTATTCCTGTAAGAGCATCCGGGACTCTGGTGGCTCTAAAGGAGACGGGAGGTACTGGATCGACCCTGAGAACAGTGGAAACCCGTTGAAAGTTTACTGCGACATGACAACTGACGGAGGTGAGATCTGCTCCAAAAAAATCTGAAATCGTGAGCAATTATAGCTCATTCAAACTACTTTTCCGTTTTTGGTTGAACTATATTCCCCGGCTTATTCTTTATAAACAGCTACCATTATCAAATTGAAAGGCATTTAACGTCAATTGTACAGATATCGTTCTGCGCGGGACAGCAAAAGGCGCAGTAGCTCTTTTTTTTTTTAGCAAAGCTGAGGATTCCCTTATTTGGCCAAAACCGAATAGGGTATGGTTTTCAGGGTAATACAAGTTTACCAATTTAAGTCTTGAACAGCGTATCTTTTCTGAGTGGAAGCGAAAGCTGGCGATGCGCGGTCTACATGCCGAGGTACCAACAATATATTTTCAAAAAAAACTCTAATTTCATGATGTTAATATAAAAAGCACCTCTAAATTCCTTGTGTAAAACGAAGTGAATCAGAGTTGTGAAATTAGGTCTCTTGTCTTTAACAGGGTGGCAAAATAAACAATTTTTTGTCTTAAACAGGGTTAGGGCTTGAAGGGCTCGGCGACTCCTCCCCCACCCCACCCCCCTCCCGGAGGATTTCATACGTTATGCGTGGGAGACAGCCGTTGAACTACTGTCTAAACATATCACCGTGGCAATGAATGACAACAACGTGCTAAAATATGCATCCCGATGAGGCCTTTCGAACTATTTTGCTTCAAAGACCTTCAATAAACTTTGCAGCGTTATTATTTTTTCTTAGCGGCATCAACAGGCAGCGTATTTTTGGACTCAATTCGATTGCGTGACCGAAAATTACCTTGAATGGTGAACAAAACAGGCTGATCTAAATTGTCGAAATAGCATATTGCTCTTACATTCTCTGCATTACGTCATAAAAGTTATATAGCACTACCTTATTTTACATCGCTTCGAGATTCATTCTGCCTCGGAACTTTCGCGCATGACTTTATTATGGCGCCGCCTCGCAGCCTCGTGTCTGCTCGTTGGCAATTATTTGAATAGCTGAAGAAACAAGTTGGGGTGCGTTTCTTTACAAAAAATACCAAAACGGATTATTGATACAAATGATCTACAATGGAGGAGGATTCTTTGTATCATATCCAAAACCGCATACTTTGGATGCATGATCCGAAGCGTTTCTTTACTACGGATCCGAAAAGAGTGAATACAGTCGGCGGTAACTCGAAACAATTTTAATACATACAGCAGCTGTTTTGCAACGTAACGCTGCTCATCTCAACGGCCATTTTTCAACTCGAGGCATGAATTAAACGATTGACTTTATCCCGCGTAATTTTTATCGGGATAGTAAAATCGCAATACAAACGGGACTTGCATTGTTCTAGTTCTAAACGGCAAGTCGAGACACTTCGCCGGAGCGACGTGCATCATTTTACAATAACGTTTCACGATGTCGAGACTGTTCAGTCAGATCAATCTGCTCTATCCTGCGTAGTAGCAGGCGTCGAAAGGGGTAGGGGATAGAGAGGAAGGGAAAAAGGAAGGGGGATTGGGGAGAGAGGGTAAGGGACGCCTGCTATAAGAACCCCCTTTTGTTCATTTCTGCGGACGCTGGCGTTCGCAAATTCCTGTTTGGCTGAGCCGTGATGAATAACTTATTGGCGTGTATCCTGGCGTATATTAGTGAGAGACAAACATGATGAAGGCATCAAGGAAATGTGTTCTACTGGCATAAGCTTTGGAAGATCAAAATTACTCCAATCATGCAGCAAATTAAAGTTAAAACCCGAACTGGAACCAACTGTAATAGCTTTAAAAAATAATCCTGAAAGCCATCACGTAAGGCCATGAGAATCGCTTGAGGCTTTTCAACCCACTTACGCATCAAGCAAGGTGAAGTAGAGTAAGCTACATTTTGAAAACGATGCCATCCGAAATCGGATTTCCGATGAATTTCACAAGCGGTGTATTTGTCAACCAAAAATCCATTAAACAAACCATCCACGAATAACAGAAGAATCTTAATAGCGAGCTGCATTTAATGAATTTTGTACATCCAGTGGAAAAAGACAGTTAAAAGCATCATAAGATGACAAAAACCCTCAGCTATCTGCGTAAACAAGTTTCCAAATGCTGCAAAATATTTCCACATGAATTCACCAGTCAAATTTTGACCAATCGAACAAAAAAATTGGGAGTAGAGCATGGCCAGTGCATGACTATGGTGAGAAATGCGAAAAGCATCTGCCTTCCCTGCGTTTTAGAAGCTGACTAAATTTTCGCGTCGGAAGTCAGTTTGAAATCAAAATTTTAATTGTTCAGCTCATAAACACAACTTATTTCCTGTGCATTGAAAAAAAATCGAGTTTGAATCTGCGCATGATATTTGAAAACTAGTAACTTTTCAGTGGATAAATTCAAAAAAAAAAACTTTTATGGATCAAGAAATAAGCCCTCGATAAGGTCAAGTGATACTGGTCAGCGGATACTCTGTTATGACAGCTGTCAACTGACCACGACATGGATGTGCTATATCAGGTTGCAGGCTCCCAAACTAGCTAGGAAGTGTGAGATTTAATATTGGTTTCCCTGTTCTGCAGACGGACGGATGGACACGTGACTACTAAATTTTCTCAGACAGATAGAAGCGCGCACGTCGAGCTTCCCTATTAAAACAGCCATTCTTATTGATTTTACAGAATGTAGAACAAATAATAAAATACCTCTTTATCTTCACATTTTCTTTCAGGAGGCTGGCTTCTTATTTCCAACATCACGATGGAAAGTTCAACTCCTCCCTCTCAACTGCCAATCAAGACTTCATACCGTGGAATAACCAGTGATCAGATGGTTCTCACAAAAACCGCCATGAATGAGCTGAGAACACACTTGTCTTTCACCCAACTGAGATTCCACTGCAGTAAAAACAATGGACGTACATTCCACGTGACCACTACTGCTAACAGCACTGGTGAAGCTGTAGTCCAGTACTTCAGTGGTCAGACGAATGACCAGCCCGCCTCGTGTGGCTCATACGTCAGAATGGAAAATGACAACTCAAGGTTAGCAGGTGTTTGCCAAAAGTGGGGATATGAACGCGGCCGATATAAGGTATCTAAATGGGGCCATGGATTTGATAGACAGAGATTATACGACCACCCTGCTTTTGTTTTGTATGCATATCATTGGGCGCTTAATGACGGTGGGAGATGGGAATGCGATGATATGAGTGTTGGCGTGAACGCTGGTGATTTCTGGAAAATTTACGTTCGCTAAAATTTGTCTCGACGTCTGTTTTTATATACAACTGTGTAGTCTTATTGGCTGTAGAAGTTTCAATTTTTTAAACCGCGAATTTACTCATTTACAAAAACGCACTCCTCCAAGAGGCGAGGACCATAAATAAAAGTTTTAGTATTTACCAAATCACTGAATAGCAATTTTCGCGCGTTTTGTTTCGCTCCCGTAACTCGGAGTATCCTTGGCTTTTCACTTTTGCGTCCGGAGTCAAGATGGCGTCTCGTTTCGAGACATTAATTTAAACGATAAATGAAGCAGTCGTACAAACACATACCAAGAAAGCGACGAACTCTGGCTTGTCGGTGTTTAGTAGTAGGTACAAAATTATTTTCATGCTGAATTTGCAACAAAACCGTAAAAATACACTTGACAAAATCCCCGAAATGTTTGTATATTGTAAACAAAGTTTCTATTGAGTGACGTTTTTAGTTTACGAAATTTCCTTTTTCATTTTTATCCAACTGATTTGGTAAATACTGAAACAACGATCCCCCTCATGGTCGGTGAACAGCGCTAGATATATACCTCGAAGCTTCGCGTCTCGGTATATGTTTACCACTATTCACCTCCCCTTGGGGGGATTGTTGCCCCCGCAGGGATTTCGCCCAGAAGGTGAAATCCCGAGGAGGCATTCTAGTAACTTGCGGGTATAGTAAGGAAAGTACTTACAGTTGAAATATACAGTCAGACAGTCAATATAGAAAAAATCTCGATTTGCTTGAACAGGGGCAGCGAGGAATCGGTAGGTAATGATGACGTTTCTATTGTTTGCGCCCGCAAGTACGAAATGGTTAGGATGACGTAAAGACAGAACATCCCCAAGGAACTGCTTAGGTAGATTTTGTGACATTTATTGTGCAGTCATACTTTATCAGTGACATTCTGTGGAGCAGTTGTTTTAGTGAAAGTTATGGAGCAAAATTTTAACGACACTCGTTAAGGGCAGAAGAAGTTATAAGGTGCGTATAACTGTGTATATATAAGCACTTGGAGAGTTTGCCAGACACGAGTTCACAAATCTTTCGTTTAAAATAAGATTAGAATACGCGAGTGTGAATTGATCAAACGTCCTTTTAATTTCTAAGGCTTCCTTTCCGGCAAACAAAATGAACTGGATGTAAAAAGTGAAAGAGAAAAAGCGAAAAATTCAACTTCTAATTAAATCTTTTCTTATGGTTTAGAATAAATTATTCTCGAAACTGAGAATGTTTTGATCAATGTGTAAATCGACCTGAAACTGTGCATGGAACCTTGCGTTTCCTGTATTTATCTCACCTATTGTATGGAATATATGTGAAAATCTTCCTTATGAATCGGTATATTTCAAAGAGCTACACAACGAGCAAGAATGCTATTGACCGACAATATGCAGAGCGGTGGCAGCTGTAGTGTCAACTAGTACTAGTTGTATAATAAATAGGCCATTCCAGAATGACGTCTTCAGTGTTAGAACTTTTGTGTTTTAAACCTCGCTGGAATTACAAAATTTAAACATGAAAGGAAAAACGAAATTGCTCCTGGGGGTAAAAGTACTTGTAGTAGAATGACGCAATCGTGCAAATGGTCGATTGCAGACTTGGATGTAAATACCTTGATTTAATATCAACCGATTTATATAATATGAATAAGTTATATCTGTTAGGAGAGATTGTTCTTATACTTTTTGGTTTGCAGTAAGCCTTAAGTCCGTTTTTGTTCATTGTATTTTTTCCAAGTATCCGCTTTAAATAAAGCCGCTCATGCCATTTAATCATTGTCTTACTGTTAGCTCGTCTGAACATCAAAGTTTGCCGGATCGACAAACAGGTTCTTCTAGTCCGCTTCAGACGGATAGGAAGTGTACAGTTCTTCTCGGGACAAAAATACAGATATCAAGGGGACATGCGAATAAAGTGTTTGTATTATCTGGGTTTCCGTAAAATACTGTTTATTCACTACAAATTAATATATTGAGCTGTTTGTCGGAACAAAGAGAAGTGTGTGTTATAAACGGGTTTCTACAAAGCAGGCCTCCACCGATGACTATGACATTTTTCGCGTCCTTTATTACTTTTGAACTTAATTCGATGCTTAGCCAAGTTCGACGTCAGCGACCCGCTAGTCTAACTTAACTGAAGTAAGGTCGACTCAAGTACCAACCGAGCGATTTCTTAGTGTTCCGAGCCAATAACAATTACAGCAAGGAGCCCAAAAGTGTGATCGCTTTTGATTTATTTACATTATTTCGTGCAGATTTAATCCAATCAGAAGCCAGCTAGAAACTGTTCTCGAGTTGTGATTGGTTAATGACTGCATGAAAGAATGTGAGTTGATGAAAGGAGGTCACACGTTTGGGTTCCTTGCTGTAACATCCAAAATAGGCAACGTATTCGGTCTTTCTTTCCCTTTAACTCGGTTAGGACAGCTTTTTCCAAAATCTTGTCCGTGCTCTTTGTGCCCGTACGGAGCCTGAGCCTGATAGTTGCCATCAATCTTTTTAGTGCAACTTTTTCGAGATTGTTTTCGCGACTTTTTGAAATTATCTTATTGCACTTAAAAATTATCTTATTGCAAACCCCCGTCCCGCCCTATTCCTTCCCCCGAACCTAACCTGATAACAAGCCAACAAACCATCAGGAGGGCATTTTGCATGCGCATGCATGCAACCGATGAACGACAATAGCGTGGGCGCATCAAATCTGAAGGCGGGAAAATGAAAACTCGCGCAAAGTTACAGTCCTCTTAAAAGCCAGTTCGTTCGTGCTTTAAATACTGTACTTTCCTACAAAAAATGTTCTCCATGACAAAAATCGGACGTTTTCTGAGCAGGTTTTCAATTGTAAAGTTTTCAGCCGTAGATAGGACTCAACACCAAAAATTACTGTTCCTGTATACATACCGTAAAATTCCGAAAATAAGCCCCTCCATGTATAAGCCCCCCAAAATCGTAACGCAAAAAACCCTCCGTTAAATCGCCCCTCCGAATATAAGCCCCCCCGGGGGGCTTGTACTTGGAATTTGTCCTCGAATACAAAGTAAAACAAAGCAAAAATGGTAAATTTCCTTCCCACTACAAGCTAGCTCAATCGATTTTGAAACGCAAATTTCCCTCCGAATATAAGCCACTCCGAAAATCAGCCCCTCAAAAAGGGCCTTTGAAAAATATTAGACTACGAGTAGTCCCTCATTTTTCCTCAGGGATAGTAGAGCGGGCGAAACGCGAGCGCGCGTGAAAATCACCCCACGAGAGAAAAGGCGACACGCGGGAAGGGGATACGAACTTCACACGCCAAAATCAGTCGGCCGTGAAGGGTCAAAAGCTTGGGCTTTGTCTGTAGTCCCTCATTTTTCTCTCTCCCCGCCGCGTGTCGCCTTTTCTCGCGTGGGGTGATTTCACGCGCGCTCACGTTTCCCACGCTCTACTATCCCTGAGGAAAAATGGGGGACTACTCGTAGTCTAGAAAAATATAAGCCCCGGGGTTTATTTTCGGAATTTTACGGTATGATATTTTCAAGGCAATGAATTTCTATGGTTTGATTTCTAACTCATGGTCTTATTCATCAACAGAAAAGGGTGTCGTATCAATGTTGCACTTCTATAAGAAGAGCGAGAAAATGTTTTACTACACGAGGTTTATTCATTTAATAGAGCGTTCTTTAATTGATCGATGAAATACGCGTTAATATAAATATGGCACAAAAACACGAAATCTATGCTTTATTTACAGTCCCCGGAAAAGTATAAAAAATAGGCAGTCTATGACTACATGTGGCTTACTGTATACCTTCACCCCAATAAGGGACGACGTCTGACATTTGCAGACTTCACACGGCATTAGTTTAAGCAAAATGGAATTAACCCCAAGGAAACCAGAGTAGAACAAATGGCAAGAAAACTGTGGGTATGCAGTCTGCAAGTGTAACATAGTTATACAGGGGTATATGTCCCGCTAATGTTTAATAAGTACCAGTCCAACAGAGGTCAGAAAATAACAAAGAGTTGGGCTTGACGGGACGTAATAGTTTTTATTTGAGATGCTTGCTGAAGGTTTGTATTATGTGTAAATCATCCATGAATTTTAAGGGCCAAATAACTATTATAATTATTTCAAGTAACACTGTTAAGAAGACAGGGCAATAGCGCTAAAAGGAAACGAAGCTAAAAATTACTAACACGGCTAAACAATACAACGTGGACAGTAAAACGACATTACAATGTAAAAAGTAAACAAACACGCTAAGGAACATGCTAGGTCACGAAAGAAGAACAAGCGTGACAAATACGAAACAAGAGACGAAAACATAACAAACGCTACAGTAAACGTAGCCTGCGTGGCAGGCGTTCGAAAGGGAAGTGGAAGGGAATTAGGGTGCGAGACCACGCGCGAGGGAGGAGGGAGGAGGGGAACGCCTGCAAGGAAGCCATTGTTTTCGCCATCCCGCCTACTAATTAAAAAATAACAAAAATAACGCAACTGTGAAAGACTAGCTGTCAAATAGAAGATAACAAGCACAGAGGCAGCATGATTTTTCCTTTCTTTCTTCTGGCGAGTAGAACCGACAAGCCGTTGAGAGATGATACTTTTCAGAACCAGTCAGTAAAACTCATCTGCTGACAGGCGTTTTCCTTCATACGGTTTTTTAACTCCTTTTTTCTATTATCTTTTTAAGCTGAAATAGATGCCTTCTAACAATGAATTCCCGTAGAGAAATCTCATCACGCTTCACTAACGACATATGTTTAGTTACTCAAATGGCGTGATGTTAAAAAAAAAAAGAATAAAATGTCAATCTTCGACTTAATACTTTTTTCCGATTAATTAATTAAAATTAATTCTGACCAATCACTATTTTGGAGAAAAAAATGGCGTCCTTGCAGGCGTTCTTTTCCTTTCTCCCTCGCGCGCCAAGTTCCCGCTTCCCCTTCTCCTTTTAACGCCTGCCACGCAGGCTACAGTAAACGAGGGTCAAACTGAGGTTGTGATCTGCGATCTAACAACGGCTTCGTTACGTTCGGACGAATTATATATCTTTTTGACTTTTTGTTGAATTAAAATAGTAGCTATAGATAGTATCTTCTAACCAGAGTTTAATATGATTTGCATCAATACTAAGTAAAACAGATGAAGGTGGAATTGTTTTTAAAGCATTTTCTTACGCTTCTGTCTTAGATTATTCCCTCCCCGAAGGCAATCTTGGCTTCCCTGAAAGAGATTATTCGCTTCCCGAAGGACTTGACTCTTGAAAAGGTTTTGAGATCGCCACAGAGATGTTCAACTGCACTAAACACTCGATCGCGCTTCGATGGAGTCAAACATTCTCTGGAAAATTGGAAACTGACTTCTCTGCTAACAAGTTCTCCATAAATGAGAAGATAACTGCGCTTGATTCTTTCACCTAAATGGTTTAAACTTATTACGGATGAAGAGACTCCTGGCGACGGTGACAAATTTGAGAGCACATAGCAAATCGAAAATTTCTCGTGTGATCACGTGCTAATTCCGAGTAATAGTTGAGGCCATTCGAAGCTATCCTCGACAAACGTTGAACAACCGACGATGTTCCGAAACAAAAAGGGGCTAAGATCGGGGAATATCGGATCGAAATCGGTAGAGTTCGTCAGTGGGCTCAGGTTGTTTTGTTATACTCAATCACTCAACGCGATATAATAAGTGGCTGACAGCCTCTAAGAGGCAGAAAGCCACAAAAATTCGATAGGAAAAGAAGAATGAATTCAGTCTAAAATGACAACATTTTTAAGTGATCATGTGCTACGTATTTTGATTATTTCATAAGCTCTCTTTCAGACAATACAAATGGACGTCGAAAAAACGAACAACTTCTTTTTCTTACTTAAGTTTCAGTTATTTCATGCTAGGGGTGAGCTCGGTTTGCTGGGAGAACTGAACGGACACCCTTATTTGTCGTAATTTGGCCACTCAGTTAAGTGGCCGTTTATTGATAATACCAAATCAAATTACACAAAAACCGTAAATAAAAACCTCATCCCAGCAAAGGTGAGGGCAAACACGCACCGAATGAGAACTTATCGCACCGATGGGACTGATCCGAAACCATGGGCGGGGTAATAGGGTGGGAAAATGTTTGCCCTACACCGAAGCTGAACTGAAAGAGGCCTGAAATCACATGTTCGGATGTTTAAGTATCTACCATTGTAAGTCCCGGATGTACCCATCCGGGATACTAAACACGCCGCGCAGGCTACATAAAATAATTTATTCCCCTTGGTAATAAATGTCATTTCCTGAACTTTAAAAGATACAGAGATTTTCCCTCACCGACTATTTTGACCCTTGAATAAAAGCTGTTGTGTTCAACAATCGATTTCTTATTGTTGCGTTTGAGGTACGAGAACGCAACCCCTAATTTGTGTTGGGTGTTCTGTGCATTATTGGGTGTCCTGTGCAATTAATAAGGGAGCCTTTTTTGAGATTGCACTTTCGTCGTCGACACACATTTGCCTCTCTTTGAAGCGCTTGCTTACGTTTTGCCTCACTTTGACGCGCTAACTTATGTGGTGATTCTTGTGTCTGTGGCGTTCATCTTTCAAAGGTTTGCCGAGGTCTGATATTCTGTCTTCGTAAAGCGTTTATCTTTTAAAAAGTTTGCTGAATCTTCGTAAAGCGTACATCGATCTGTGTTTGCTGAATCGTCCAAAGCGTTCGTCTTTCAGAAGTTTGCTGTTAAATTTTACTTTGGATTAAGCCTTCATATTTTTTTGAGCATGGTTCGTCACTCCTGGTCCATGTATCAAACCGGGTTTAGTTCGGCCACAAAGTAAATTTACCGAGTTGTGTAGCTCGGCAGCCGTTGTGCCACAAAGTAAATCTACCGAGGTGTGAAGCTTGGCGGCGCCATTTGATCATGACTTGTGACATTTTCGGCACCGGACAAACGAACACTTTAACTCTATGTTAGGAAAAATCTCTGTATCTTTTAGAGTTAAAGAAAAATAAAAGTACTGTTCGTTTTTTCGGAGTATGTGCATTCGTTTTGTTTGCAACTGAGCTTATGAAATGCTCAAGTGATCATGTACTTGTAATTGTTGCTTCAAACTCAATCCATTATACACTTCCTATAGGAGAATATTTTTTATAAATTTTTCCGCGAAAACTTTCAAAAAACTGTTAAAACCCCATAGATTTCAAGTTTTGTGGCATATATAAACGCGTGTCTCCGCGATCAGTTTAACATGAGACATCGCGCTAATAAATAAACCTCGCGTGGTAAATTTTTTTTTGGATTTTGTCTTAAAGCAGCTGAACATTGCTACGATGAATTTCCTCCCTAAATAAAACCACGAGTTTGGAAATCAAACCATAGAAATGCATTGCTTTGCTAGTGAAAATCAGACTTATACAGGACCATGACTTTTGTCGTTGAGTCTTGTCTTTAAAGGCCAAGAAAACCTACTGCTGAAAACTCTACAAGTGAAAACGCGCGTAGAAAACGTCCGATTTTTGTCATGGAGAATATTTTTTGTAGGAAAGTACGGTATTCAAAGCACCAACGAAATGGCTTTTAAAAGGACTGTAACTTTACGCGCGAGTTTTCGATTTCCCGCCACCAGATTTGATGCGCCTACGCTATTGTCGTTCAGCGGATTCACGCATGCGCATCCAAAATGCTCTCCTGTTGGTCGTAACATGGTACATCCGGGACCCATTGATCCCTATTTTCTTGCCATTATTTTGATCCCTGGGCCCCATTTTCCCCCAAATTTTGATCCCTGAGCCCTGATAAGAAAAATTCACCCCATCCATGTTTTACACAAAATTTTAACTTAGACAACTTTGTTTATCTCCAGATATAGAATATAGAACACTAAAATGCTTAAATGGGCTGATGAGAAAAAAATTAACTTTAATTTTTAGTGCAAGTTGTAGGTTCTATCAGAGCTTTAAAGATAAATATGAGTTAACTTTGTTTTGTGCATTATTCTATTTAAAACTCTTTAAACAGAATGTTTGGCGATACTAGACAAATGATAAAACCTGATTTTCTTGAACGGGAGCTTTAGTAAGATACAGAATGTAAGTTTTTGTTAATTTATACATTAACAGTAGTCTACTTCACTTTAAGTATCGTACATCTTGAAAGATCTTGCGGCGGAAACTTGATTTTTTCGGATGCAACGTTCATCAAGAGTGTTTACAAGGTTTATTTTCAGTGTTGCTCATACGAGCTAGGCCACCCGGAGGTTTATAAGCCAATCACAAGAAAGCATTGGATTCAAAATTCGAATAAATAAATTTTTAGTCAAACAGCAAACACAGCTAGCGCTGGTTGGTCCCCAGTTGAATTAACGGCACTGTAAGGTACTTCTGAACTAAGGTCTTCCTCTAGCTTTCCAATTCCTGTCCCCTACGAATATCTGCTTGCCCGGATAACTTGTTCAGTTAATCAATGTCCTATCTGTGTGGGTCACAGATGTTTTATTTCCAAATAGACTCTTGCAACCAAACATTTTACGTCGGCCGTGAAACTGGTCTACAATATTGATATTGATAAAGTGTAATCGTTTGTCTCTCCCTTGAACCTCTTTCAGGAGATCGACTTCTCCATGTGCTGACGCATTCCGTCTGAACATACTCAGAGCAAGTGCAAGTGTATCAGTTCTTTCTTTGGTCTTCCCTCTCGTTCGTTGCTGTCGTACAGCCCGTCCGAATTCTTTCGCAAAGCTCTGCAATGCCTTCCTTTTGTTTCGCTCCTTTCCCTCCGCGCTCGTTTCCTCGTCCATATCCCCCTTAGGTTTACTCTTGCCGTGCGACTTTCGAAGCCATTTCGGTACCTTCGGACCCAGCTTTCTCTGTGTGTAATGGCTTTGAGGGCCGGTATAAAAGATATTCGAGGATTGGTGGTAGGTGAACCGATCTCGGTTTCTCATCAGAGTTAGGGGACGGACCATTAGAAAAGTTGTGGGGGGGAGGGGGTGAGAGGGGAATTTTCGAGCCGCAGGAATTTCTTTTCGTTATCAAATTCCTTGTATGAATTTTTTTTAGGCCATAGCATGAATATTTTTTAGGATTAATTGGCGTGCATGAATTTTTGTCATTTAATTTTCCTTTGCGCGAATATTTTTTTGTACTTCGCCCGCACCCCCCGCCATAAGTTTTCTAAGGGTCCGTCCCTACATTGCGAAAAAGCATTTTTTTTGCAACAAAGCACGCGAATTTATTGTACTTGTATTCTACTTTTGACGTCCTTTCTAATTATTTAAGTACTTTTAAGGGTTAAGTTACTGGTCAAAAAATACAAACCTCGGTTTATAGTCCCCTTGTGACTTGCTTGAGGCGATGAGGCTGTACATTTATTTTGAATTCAGACATAATTTAAGCAGTCGCCGAAGAGAAAGGAAGTTCCAGAACTGATCAATATCACTTACAATCAGAGACTGGAAATCTTTACCAAGTTGTCTCATTGAAAAGCAGTCAGTGGAGGCTTTCAAAACGGCCGTCGTGAGCCATCTTAAAAACGCTAACCCGGGAACTTTTTATTCTTTATTCACTTGACATTAGCACCTTGATTATATCTTAACACAAGCACCTGTGCAATTACACATCCGCCGTGATGGGAAATTCCCTTTGCAGATAATACGATAAGAATTAGAATTAGAATAACGGAAGGGCTACCTGCCAAATTTCATGCTATTAACAGAAAGTGAACAATTGAAGCACATATCTGCTCCGCTTTGTCAAAAATAGTATTTAAGAGGGTAAGGGGTTAGACCTTGGGGCGGTACCTCCTTGTATAAAACTTTGTTGAGTACCCTTCCATCCAAACTGAACGGATTAAGTTCATAATAAGTTTGTCTTCTGTCGCAGTCAAGTTTGTTTGAATGAGTTTGCATCGACTAAAACCAAGGCCCGACGTCGAACTTTTCATGAGACGAACTAAACTGAGTGATTTAAGTTAATGATAAGTTCAACGTTTGTCTCCGTCTGGCTACTCTGAATATTAAAGTTTGCTGGATCGCCAAACAAGTTCTTCTAGTCCGCTAAAGATCGATTTTCGGGGACAAACATGGCAGACATCAAGTGAACATCCCAATAAAGAGTTTGTATTATCTGGGCCCGGGGGGTACTCCCCTATGTATCTATGTGCTGCCCCAAAGGGTTTTTCCGCCGTTTTGGTCTGAAGACGGGTGTAGAATTTGCCCATTTTGGTCTGGAATCGGGTATGGTTTTCGAGGGAACTACGGGAGTGTACGAACGTATTTATTGTTTTAGTCCCAAATGAGTAAGAAAGAAAAAGAAATATGCCAATTGGAATAAGTTTTAAGAAATCTTTTTTTTTTTTTTGCTGTTGTAATCTAAGTAATGATGACATCATTTCTTAAAGGCCAGGTCTGAAAACAGGAGTGAAAAATAACATTTTTTGGTCTGAAATAGGGTCAGGATTTGGAGAACCGGACGGCACACCCCCACCAAGAATTCCCAGAAGTGCCCCCTTGGGTATCTGGGTTTCCGTAAAATGCTGTTTATTCATTAATTCATTATTGAGCTGTTTGTCGGAACAAAGAGAATAGTCTGTTATAAACGGGTTTCCGCAAAGCAGGCTTCCAACAACGACTTTAAAATGTTTCGCACCCTTTATTACTTTTCAACTTAGTTCGACGTTGGTGACCCAGTAGTCGAACTGAACTGAAGTAAGGTCGACCCAAATAGTAATTTGACTCGTCTCATAAAAACTTCGACGTCTACCCTCCGCCGAAATTGCAAACACCAGCCGTCCGATTACTTAGTTTCCGAACCAATATCCAAAATAGACAACATATTCGGTCTTTCTCCCCCTTTACGGTAACTCGGTTAGGGCAGCTTTTTTAAAGTCTCTAAGACAAGTTGTCTGTGCTCTCTGTTTCCGTTGGGAGCCTGATAGTTTCCATCCAAATTCACAATTTTCTTTTCAGTCTCGGCGACTTTTTTGCGATTTGTTTCGCAACCTTTATCTATTATTTTGACGCACTTAATAAGGTCCAAAGCCTCTCCGCCCTATCCCTTCCTTCGAACCTAACCTAATAACAAGCCAACAAAAATGCTTTGCAAAATTCACTGACGAATTAACAGAAAAAACAAAACAAACTACGAAGCAGTCCACAAAATAAAATAAAAAACACCCTTTACTCCTGTTTCACTGGAAGGTTGAAATTTAATAGTTTTCTCGTGGAGTATTACTCGGAATTCGGAGGATCAAGAGTTTAATTGAGAACGGTCGCGTTAAGCTTCGTAAGGTTCAAGTTGAACCATAGATCGAGCTTCTCCAACCCACTCTGAAATTTATCCATCTTTTTTGTTTATTTTTGGTTTTTAAAGCTGAAAAATTTTCGGATATGCCACCTCCTGAGGCAGTGCAATTTGGCAAGGTATAAGTGGCCGTCGATTAATTAATAGTCCCTAAACTAAAAAGATAAAACGAGACATCTTAATAATTAAATACTACATCAATACTGCACTTAGCAGGTGGATCCAGGCCAAAAACTGGTTTAATCACCACTCTCTTTAATTTTACCCGTATGAATGCACAATAAATATGCCCAAGCAATAGCTCATTTATTTCCCTCAGGTTCGATTGAGTCTGACCGTAAATCATTAGTATTTCAGAAAACTGAATTATATTCAGTTTAGCAGTCACGTGTAAGGAGCCCGGCCCCGGACTCTTAAGGCCGGTAATGTTGGCGTTCTCGGGGGACGTCAGTATTATTACTAGAATTCGCATACATTATTGCTTTTTCATCTTGCGGTGCGTCTTTTAAAATAGACGTTTCCTTGAACAAAAAAGTACACTTGTTTTACAGGCTTACTTGAAATTGAAGTTTAGCTCGACACTTATAAGTACAATCTTTTTTAAGCAGTTTTATTTAGTACTTACAAAAACACTTATGAATTATAAATTGCTTTGCATGGGAGCTGTCACCGCAAAAGAGTTTTACAACTAAACAAACTAAATTAAAAACGGAACAACCTCTCTATAAGGCTGACACTTAATAGTCGGCACGTACAGGTAGCACAGTGAAGATCACAATCATCCAAAAATTTTCCTTCGATGGCAGCTTCACGGCTCATTCGTTTGGTTTTTCTGACTGTTAATGTTCTGATGGCAGTGGTACTGGTGATATCCAACTCGGACTTCTGTGCCAGCGTTTTTGAAACTCAAACAGGTAAATTAACTCCTGCGGCTTTATAAAACGGTTTTCTAAAACGTTTTCTAAGATGCAAACAAACTACCGTTTTTATTTTTTTTTGTTTTTTTTTTTTCAAAGTTTAGTTTTCAGTAGACTCTTTTATTACATGTTTTAAATGGTCATTGTGATAAATCTGAGATGACAAACTCGGGCATTTTAAAAGCATTAGTTTCCTCTTATCGACTTTATCTGATGTTAAAATTGCTTACAACTTTTATCACTTTTTTAACTTCTGACGATTCGCGCTTGTATCAAATCGCAATTTTGCAAGCGAGTATATCTCTTTATCGTAAAAGATTATAAAACTGTTCAGCTAAAAAAATGAATTAATGTATGTCCTAGCTTCATGTTAAACTCCATTGTATTTTGCTTATTCCCCTGTTTTATATTACTTCATGTTTCAGACCATGTTTTAGTTGGTCATGTCATGAGTACATCAACTGTTGCTGACGAGTTTGAATGTCACCAAAAATGTCTCAGAAATAACAGCTGCAAGTCGTTTAATGTTGATCCTGGTGCAGATATTGCAAAACGACTTTGTGAGCTGAACAACAAAACACGGAAGATGAAGCCGGACGATTTCATTAGGAAGAAAGGATCTTCTTATTATGGACAAGTTAAGGTCAGATCCACTGTTTGAACATAAACTATCGCTTTTTTATAAAACTGTTATTTAAAAAAACTCTAAACTCTAAACAACTAATTAGGGACCTTAAGATCAGACGACGGCGACGGCAACGAGAACGTCATAAAAGCAATAGGTTTTTAAAACAAGCAAGTTATTAAAATAAGAAAAACAACAAGAAAAAAACAACTTTCCTCGTGCATAACACTTTTTTGTACATTTCTTTACGTTTTGCACGACAATGACGTTAAAATGCCTAATTTCATGTTTTATAGAGGATGTCATTAAAACATTCAAGCAACGACGAGATTTTCTCTCTCTTTCTTACCTTGGGTAAGGTTCTTAGGAATTCAACTCCAGGAGAGTTCGTGTACATTCGACAAAGTAAGCGTGATGGAACAATCGCGATGACGATTGGAAAACCGCGAAAACATTTTTAAGCGACGTTTTACCTGCTGTCGCCGTCCTCGCATCTTAAGGTCCCTATTAAAACATTTGTTTACGACGTTCACACCCTGTTCGGTTTTCTCGGAATATTAAGAGACAAGTATTTAATTTCTTAGATTTTTCGGCTCAAATTCTATGGAGTTTTGAGATCAGCTTCTTACGAATTACTTGATATTATTCGAATTTAAGTGGTTATCTTTGCAGAACTCTAATATCGTAAATAGTACTTTTGGCGACATTTTCTTTTAAATAATGTTTTTGGCACCGGTTTGCCTGTGTCTTAGTAACGTATATGTTTTTACCCACACGGAAAATATCGCGTATGGCAGGGTATAAAAAGAAGGTATATCAATATATTTAACAATCATCATGAGTATCATATAAAAAATTATATAGATCGAGGAGGGTGTTATCCGCCTCGACCGTTAGCCACTGAGTCAGAAACGGAGAAATATTTTGAATGAATAATAATTATTTATATTACTTCTAAAGCAAACAAAAGTGGTAATAACTAAAGCACATAATGACGTCATCTATAGCTGTTATCTATTGTTTGATGTTTCTCATTTCAATTCGTTATTTTCTTCTCAGGTTTCCTACCAACATCTGCCCACCAACAAGAAAAAACAAACTGGTCATTGTCATCCGGACTACAAAGGGGAAAGATGTGAAATTCGTGAGTAACGCTCGTCTATTTTTGAATTTGATTTTACTATTGCCTCGCGGAGGAGCAAATATTTACCATATATAGTCATTTTTTTTATTATCTGCTACAGCAAAGCCGGCTACAGCAAAGCCGCGAGGCTGGAATTCCAAGCTGCCTGCTTATTCCTGTAAGAGCATCCGGGACTCTGGTGACTCTAAAGGAGACGGGAGGTACTGGATCGACCCTGAGAACAGTGGAAACCCGTTGAACGTTTACTGCGACATGACAACTGACGGAGGTGAGATCTAATCTTGAAAGTCTGAAATTGTTGTAATACATTCGTCAGATGAACCCACATAACTTCCTCATACAGAATAGGGAATAATTTATGCTAAGTAGGTTCCTAATTTGGTCCTTAATTTCTATGAAGGGAAAAAATAGATTGTTGATTACCAGAAAAATATATTAACACGAGTTTGGTCCTTACGACTGAGGTTTTTAGTCACAATTTTATTTTTATGACCGTAACAAAACTGATTACCGAATTTATATACAGTTTGGTACAGTATCTTCTTGTTATACTTTCACTTTTAATTGCTTATCATAATTTAACTGTACCACATATTAGAACCTTCTTGATCTTGCTTAGCTAAACAGGTTCTTGTGTTTTGGGGTTTTAAAGGGGCAAATGTCGGCAAGAAGGTTCTTAATCCATCAGGGTTTTTTTTACGCGAGTGTTTACTGTATATGTTTCTTTGAAATGTCCTGGTGAATAATTTTCGCAACATTATTATGCCTTTGAGGGTAATCCATCTTACTGCACTCGCAAATGAGATGATTTCGTGTCGCATCTTTATCTCCACACAATCTGCAGAGGGGAGACACATCCTGTTTTTCAATGGATGTCTTGATTACATTCGTCCTCAGTGCCTGATCTTGTGTGGCAGTTATAAGCCCTTCGGTCTCTTTCTTCCAATCCCCCTTCTTCAACCAATCCCATGACCTCTTAGCCTTGACTTGTTCTGTTTGACGCAATATCTGGCCATGAAGGAAATTGTCTTCCACTTCTTAATCTTCTCAAAAGTTTCCTCCTTCTCATCGTCTGTTTGTGGGGGGTTCCTCATTTTCTTTCTTATCTCTTCAAGTTCTACTGTTTTTTTTGCAGTGGTTCCGAGATGTTTTGAACGCAATAGGCCAACTTCATCTCTTCATCGAGAACACACTCTTCCAGGCCATTCAATATACAGCCCCGGAAAGTCGTCGAAAGTAGGATCGGGCAACATCAGCTCGTGGATAAAACATAACATAAACAGTTAACTGTTTATGGTTATCTTTTTTTTTTTCTATCCATGGCTTCTAGTTCAGCTTTACTTTAGTTTACTTCTTCAGTTCCATGCCAGACAAGTGACAGAGCCTATGAATTTGTTGCAAGTACAGTATTTTCCCACTGGCATTGGACTGTATTTAGTCTCCGGAAATATTCTTTCTTCATAACGTTTTTCTTGTGCCCTTGAAATAGATCGTCATATTCCAGAATTCCCAGGTTCTTATAGCCGTCTTCTTCCGCTGATTTCATTTTGCGATTATCAGGCGAGGTAATCCCCACAATTTTCTTAACATTTTCCCTCTTTAACGCCACGCCTTTTCATACCAAACGTCATGCCTATATCCGGTAATGAACACCGCGTGTATTGACCAGTGAGTGAAGCTCACGTTCATCCTTCCCGTACAGCTTCAAGTCATCTATAAACAGTAAATGAATGATTGACTCCTCTTTCTTGTCTAACTAGTATCTTCCTTATGGATTTTATTATTATTATTGTTATTATTATGTAAAATTTAGCACAGTGATTTTCCCTGGGGAGAAATATCCAGTCAAGTCTCATCCCGAGACCTCAGACTTCCAGCACCTTTCTGAGGAAATGTGCCGATCCGAGGAGTGCCGACTTTTGCATCGTTCTTGTTCGGTTTTTAATTCCTAGTTGCTCCAAGTGGCCTGCCAGCTTCTTTGACACTGAACCCAATGCACCTACAACCACTGGCACCACTTTTGTCCTTGATTTCCAGATCCTTTGAATCTCTCTTGCCAGGTCTTGGTACTTTTCACACTTTTCAGTTTCTTTCTGCAGTATATTACTATCTCCGGGAACAGCTATGTCCACAATGATTGTTTCCTTTGCCTTCTTTTTCTGAATTACAATGTCTGGCCTCCTGTGATGGATTTCACGGTCTGTTTGGATGGTAAAGTCCCATAACAGTTTAACCTCCTCATTCTCTTCTACGCTTTTGGGGGAATGCTCATACCATTTGTCACTGCACTCAACTCATTATTGTTATTGTTATTGTTATTGTTATTGTTATTGTTATTGTTATTGTTATTGTTATTGTTATTGTTATTGTTATTGTTATTGTTATTGTTATTGTTATTGTCATTATTATTATTATTATCATTATTATTATTATTATTATTATTATTATTATTATTATTATTACTATTGTTGTTTGTTGTTATTATCATTACGTGATAACGGGGGTTAACAGAGGTCCAGAAGCATTGTTGCGGGAAAGGCTCTCACGATGTCTAGCTAAAATGGACTGAGCAAATGAACAGAGATGTTTTGGATTATAAGAGACGGGCCATTAGAATGGACCCACCAGAAAACCTACCGCGAAACGGGAATGGTAGAAAGAGAGGCTCGCTGGGAACGCTGCTGTTTGGTGCAGTTGAGGATGTGCACGAGTCAAATTATAATGAGATCGCTAGTGATTTGATTAAAGAAGCAGCACTAAGAACGAGAGGCGCTGTAGGTCCCTGGAATGTAGACGCTATGGCTTTCAAAGGATCCTTGCTAACAAGTCATTCAAGAATTCTGGCTCTAATTTGTGCGACGCTCTTGTTAATCAAACCTAATAGAATTTCGAAATATTTTCAGATAAAAGCAACTTCTTAAATGTCTATAGAGTGCGTTTTGAAGAATATGGGAACTGGTGTTTCCAGTTTGGAGATTCTTCAGGACTAGAAGTCCATGAAGATCTTGCTGAAATAGCGTGATTTGAAATATCTTAAAACTTTGTGACAGTTAATATCAATCTGCATTATTGACGGTTGACGGTAAAAAATACCCTTATGACGGTTGACGGTTAAATTTTTTGCCGTTTGGCGGCTGACGGTTAACCCTATTGAAACGGCCCGTGGCATCTCAAGTCTTCACACCTGGACAACCAGGGTGAAAATAGCAAAAACTGTCTCGAATACGAAGGGCAAATAATGCACCTACCAATGTAATGCCGGCGAGGGGGGAGGCAGGGCATAGGGTGGGGATTTGACTTTTTTCAAAAATTTTCAATCAAATTCCCTGCCCACGGGCAAATCATTCCAGTCAAATGCAACCAAATTTCCCCACCCCAGGCTGCACATTCCTGTCAATCCCAAGGCAGAACCTAAGAAAGGCACAATAAAAAATATCTCCAAATAAAACTCTGCAATCTTTTATAAACGTTGCTGCATAACCAAAGATGCATGTTCTGTTACAGCTGCAATTATACGTTTTAACCATAATCCGTGTTACACTGCGTAGAATACATAAACCTTTAGGAGAAAGTCCACGTTTTGTAAGTCTAAATATACCGTTCTTAGTTAAGGGTACAAAGAAAGTCAGTTTTATAAGTTTACAGTGATTGTAGCGAATGAGCCATACACTAATCAATTTTACTTGCAAAAATCGACTCGGTTTCTCTTTACTTCCGCTTACTTTGATACCACAGTATATTAAGAGGTTCAATTGATCCAAAACACGCTAAAACAAACGAAACTTGAAGACAAAACAGTGAAATCCACTCAGCCTTCGCTTGCTCTCATGGGCCTCCATGACTTCCTGATCTTTTCAAACCGTATGGCGCATGCGTGAAGCGTGGAAGCGGGAAACATATGTTCGGTCTCAGTCTTTTTCGTCCGAGTTGGCAGTCAAATATCTCCACGTCGGGCGAAGAAAGATTCAAATATCCCCTCCCCCGGGAGAACAAGATAAGTCAAATGCCCTACCCCAGGGACTTGGTACATGGCCAAATAGGCGACTTTCGCTACAAGTTTAGTCGCCAATTCTTATTCTTTACTCGCCATGGCGACCAAAATGGTCGCAGCTTGGAGCGCTGAATTTATTAGTGTTTTAAAATAATGTACAATTTATTGATTTAAGTTAAGCAGTCACGTGTAATTGTTTTTGTAAACAAAATTTGACAGCCAGTAATGCAGGCGTTTTCTCAGAGCTTGGGGATCGCTCGATTACTCTTTACTGATTCTCAGCTCTGCTTTCAAAATAAGAGTTTCCCTTGTCCAACAAAAACCTGCTAATTTTGCAGACCGCCACGTAAATTCGTCAGAGGCAGTTTCAATGGTGTATCCAAAGGGGACCGGAGTTACTGGAGCGACCCTGAGAAGAGTGGAAACCCGTTGAAAGTTTATTGTGGTCGACATGAGAGTTGTGAGATCTGCTCTTAAAAACTGTTCTTCACATGAACTCACATAACTTCCCTTCAACAGAATGTTAGTTAAAACTTGGAAAGCCTAAAACAGATCAAGACAATTAGAATTATCAATTACTGGATAAGGATGATCTGCATAAGAGAAAACAGACATTGTTTGCTGCCGGGTCAGCTTTTCTCTAAGTTATACCTGTACCTTTAAAACGGTTGTTTTTCCTTATTAAAAAACAACTTTCCATTTCAGGAGGATGGCTCCTCGTTTCCAACGTTGTGATTGGTTCAACTCCACCCTCTCAGCTTCCAGTCAAGACTTCATACCGTGGAATAACCAGCGATCAGATGGTTCTCACAAAAACCGCCATGAATGAGCTGAGAACAAACTTGTCTTTCACCCAACTGAGATTCCACTGCAGTAAAAACAATGGACGTACGTTCCACGTGACCACTGTTGCTAACACCACCGGTGAAGCTGTAGTCCGGTACTTCAGCGGTCAGACGGATGTCCAGCCCGCCTCGTGTGGCTCATATGTCAGAATGGAAAATGACAACTCAAGCCTGGCAAGAGTTTGCCAAAATTGGGGATCGGAAAATGGCGTGTACACAGTTGGCAAATGGGGTCATGGTCAAAATCAAGACAGGCTGTATATATATTCTGCTTTCATAGTTAGCGAATATCATTGGTACATGAACCCACCTTATTTTTTTTGCGATGATAAAATCCCAAATCCAACATCTGGTGATTTCTGGAAAGTCTATGTTCGCTAAGAACTCGCAAAATTGATTGCATTGTCTAAATATGTATCTTATTAAGATACTTTCTTTGTATAGTTTTGGAGTGAAAATACGTTGGGTAGCAATTATCATGTGAAAAATCAGATAGTAAGTTAGATATTTAAAGAACTTTTTGAAAACTTATGTTCATTTGCATTTTATCCTCGTTTTTAGCTTCTATTTATTAATTCGTGTTTTCCTTATTTTCTCTTATTTATTTAAGCTTTCTTAATTAAACTTTTTGCCTTGAAGTTTTACCCGCTTTTCACATTTATTAACATTTTCAAGTATATAGCTGCAATATTTTGTCATATATACAATCTTTCCTAAGTTTCAGGTTTGCCTTTTATCATTGTTTGTTTGCATTTATTCAGTCAAGAGCAATTATTAAATTCAAATAGCAACTAAACGTTATTCCTAGAGAGTGTAATGAATGCAAGTAACGTGTGTGCATTCACTCGCTGAGCTGATGTAGCGATGTCGAGTTTTAACAGGCGAAAACTATCATTAGTACGTATACATTTAATAATATTCAAACCATATATGTGACGATATCGTTCGTCGCCATAAACTATCATTGGTGCATTGAGCCATATTCGAACAATATATGTGGCGATATCGTTTGTCGTAATAACCCAAATCCATCTAGATTTCTGGAAAGTCTATGCTCTCTAAAACGTTGAAACAGTGTTTTTCAGTCAACGTTCTTATTTTTTTTTTTGTTTAATTATTGTAATGTAATCCGACATTAATGCAAATGTACGATATATGAAGTATACTATGTTACAAGAATGAAAATGCAGAAGGTCAAATTGCAAGTTGCTCAAAAGAAGGGTCAAAATGTGGCTTTGGAGAAGAAAGTTAATTAACGTTACTTAAGAGTGATGAGATATGCTTGAACGAACCATTTTAGCTTAGCAATGCTATTAATTTACGATAATTCCTAAATACTAGTGCATAGATTCAACTTGTTCGATTTCAGTTCCACAAAATGTATACTTCTGTTTTGCTAGATTATTTTAAGGGATTAAAAACCAATTCGCCGTCGATGTTGCTACTGTTCTTAATTCTGCAGATCTTCTTGTTATTCGTCGGGATTTCCAATATTAGCACTCAATATATAACACCATGACTGCAATACTGCATCATTCGCAAAAGTTTTACGTTAGTATGCAGATAATAAGGTAAGTAGTTACCTACGTCATAACCAGACTAACAGAGGACCCAAAAATGTTCCCTGGGAAATCCCAAAGGAAACAGGGCAGGCTTTCTGCTCTTCAATTCGAGTCTGAAATAAAGTTTACTGCTATTTTCAGTTGACGCTGGGCTGGGCCAAAAACTGTATTTGGCATCACAACTCAACTACAATGAACGTTCGAGAGCACAAAAAATACTTCCACTCTACCGCTACACCACATATTCAAACTCATACATCCCTACATCGGGCCGATCTTGAGTCCCCTTGTTTCCTGCTTCACAGCACGGATTTGAATGGGACGCAGTTGCACTAGAGGATTAGGAGGATATGAAAAGGAACATGTTATTCAAAAATAATGATGCTTCTTCAATCTGTTCAGTAAGCCTTGCTATCGATTTTTTTGCATAAGAGTTTTCAAGATTGAAAAGAAACGAAAAGAAAAAAGCGGTAACAAACAGTGGGAAAAGTGAAGTACATAAAAATAATGTATACTCGTTTTATCCGCCTTACCTGTGTTCATTCCTTTTAGTGTAATGATTCACTTGCTGATAAATTCAAACAAACAGGACCCAAAATAGTCATGGATACAAAATTATTCACATTCACCCTCTTCAATAAGACAATACTTTTATAGAAGGCAAAACAAAGATATAAGAATTCAGGATTTAGGAAAACAACGGAAAAAAGGATTCACTACTAGGCGTACAAACAATTTGCTTTGTCATTGACTTGTGTATTGCCTTTGTTTTGAACAGTCTATCTAGTCTAGTTGACATGACACCATCGTCTGCGGTCACACTACAGACTTTTTACCTAGGTAAACTTTACTTGTTGACAGTTTACCTGGGGAACTTTTTTAAGTGTGACCGATTTTTTCCCCAGGTAACTTACCTCGGGAAAATTTTATCGTCTTGGTCTTGGATATGTCTCGAAAACAATAGAGTTTCCCTTGACAGCTACCCCAAAGCAATAGCTAGGGAAAAATGAAATACCGAGGTCAGGCTAGCCAATAGACGCTCATCGGCGAAGGTCTTGATGACAGAACCGGACATAGATCACGCTGTGAAAGAAATTTTGGGAGCACGAGTCGTCTACATCTTCGCCTTTCTTCACCTTGCATGTTGAATTAGCGTAAGAAATAGCAACGAGATAAAAGAAAAAAAACTCTCTTTGATTAGCTAGATCCCTTCGCATTTTGCCTTCTTGAATTTACGCTCCAAAAAATTCAACTGGCGTGAAAACTTTGGGAGCCGATATCAGTAGCGTGACCTTCCCAGAATTTTTACTTAGGTAAAACAAAACCCGAGATGAATTTACCCAGGCAGATTTTTGGTTTGATTTGATTTTTTTTTTTTTTCGTTTTACCTAGTTAAAAGTCTGTAGTGTGACCACAGCTTCCTTGGAGGTAAGCAACTGAAGGGGGTTTCTAGCGTCTGGTCTGTCACGAGGCTGGAAAGGTGCGCAGGCTTCGTACAGAAGTTCCAAACGTTGCGCCAGTCTGATTGGCAACTCTCAGCACTGTCTCAGCATACTTTTCAGAAGGGCTTAACCTTCTGCCATCACGAAGGGAACGGATTATCTTGTCCTTGGTGTCGCCAGTTTCCTCTTGCTTCACGACTTCCTCGTACAGATGATGAAGACAATGGTTTAATAAATTATATAGAAGCATTCCGTAGGCCCACATGTCCACGACCAACAGATCCTCAACAGTGGCTCCTGCACGTGAGATCTCGCTTCCGAGAAGAATTTCCGGTGCCATGTATGGTATTGTACCCCTGTCGATGCTTACAGTTCTTGATCGGCAAACAGATCGTGATTGCACAACTTTTGACCTACTTTCTCCAAATTAAGTCAGTGAGCTTGCAGATCACTGGTTCATGGCTCCATGGGTAGGCAATTTTATCGCGATTTTTTTCCTCGCGGTAATGATGATTGCTAACGAGGACGTTCGCTATTTTTAAATCTCTGTGCGCGATTCCTCTTTCATGCAAATACAGTAATCCACTGCCAATATCCGACGCGATCCTGGTCATAAAATTTGTGTCCACCCCATTGCAATTCCCTGTGTCAAGGTAACTGATAAATTCTTTTAATGAACTGACCTTTCCCTCTCCTCCGAAAACGCTTAGGTCAAAATAAACATACTCCAGCATTAAAACTGCGACTGGTTCGTGACAAACAGCTTTAAATTGTACTACTGATATTGCTGTGATTGAGATCATGCAGTAAACGAGCTTCTTTAGTGAATGCATCGATAAATTGTGAAGACGAACCAAGCAATTTCTTTACAACAACTGGCTTGCTTGAATTCCTGTCCAGGTCTTACTCTTAAGCATACTTTGTCACAAAAACCGCTCCGAACGAGCCTTGTCCAACCCGGGTGTCCAACCACATCCTGTTCCCCTAGATCACTCCATTTAAATTCTGTAAGGCCTTCAAAGCGAACGATTCGTAGCCTGCGTCGCAGACACTCTAAACCTTCTGTATAGAGAGTCTGCGAATTAGTGCACAATATCGTGTTCGAATCCCGTAGAGTAGCATGGATATATGTCGGCGTTATTGATTGGCTATTTTCTTTCGCAGTTTGTGATTAGTCCGATTTGAATTAAGCGTTGACAGGCCAAACATGACTCATAGCTCGTGACCAGAGAGATTGAGCTCGTGATAGTGTGAAACGTGACTTTAGAGACCCCTAGAGTAGCTTGAACAACAGATGTTTTTCTTGCTCTCTTTTTGCGTAATTTATACAGTGCATGGAGTATTCTACAATTTGACTGAGCAAATTTTTTTTGCCTCTTTGAGTCTCACCTTTAGCTACATTTAGAGGTTGTGAAGCTGGTCTGTTTCATACATATTGAGTAATTAGTTCTGTAGTTTATTTTTTGGCAAATGTTTTCTAAGAGGATTTGATCACAGATGCATAAATGATTTTCTTTTACCTCTGATTAAGCCTTAAGCTTCTTTATTGCGGCTAAATAACCTAAGTGTCTTTGGTTTTCAACGAAACGCTTGGACCTGAATAGCTACATGTGTGTAGTTTTTTGTTTTTATCGTGAATAACGTGATGATTTCTTCATTTGTTTTGACTCTAGAACTGTCGGCTAGATTACAGAATACGCAATAGTACATCTGCAGCGATTGGAAGACGCTGGGAAACCAGCCGGCAAATTCACTAGCAAATTTTGGCCTTGAAGGAATTATCTCAAAGCGTTTTTTTGCTCAGAAGACGGCTTTAAATTTCGAACTGATCTTTCGATTACTGTAAAAGATCCCTGCCAACTCCCTTCTGTGAATTTTAATTGACATGTCACTGCGCCGTCACGCACACGTAAAAATTAGGCCAATCGTGCGGCTTGTAAGAAACCCGTAAGAAACCCGCCTATCAGAAACGCTCACATATGTCCTTGCGACTCTGCAGGATATTAGAACGAGCTTTTGTGCACTAATTCGCAGACGGACTATACAAATGGTTTAGACGAGTACGTGGGCCGGCTGCAACGCAGGCTAACGATTCGCCTCTTCTTCACCGTCAATGCCAAAGGCGCTTTGAAATTTCCAGGAGACAACATAACGTAGAAAGAGGTAAAACGAAGCACGTAGTGGCTACAAATATACGAATATTCCCGCCAAAATGCTGCGCAAAAAACTGATAATTTCTTTGTAGAGCACTGTTTAAAGTTGTCATGAAATATTAAATTATCCTCAGTCGGGGTCTGTTTGATTTTTTATTTTTTGAAAGGCACTATCCGGATCGCAGGTTATAGATGAATGAGCTACAAATTGTAGTAGCTGAGCGGTGGTAACCACAGTCTTTTTAAGAGCGACCGCCAAGAAAAATTGAGCAAATTCTCGATTTTTTTGCAAAAGTTTCGCAAAAAGCTCTTTTTTTTTAGAGAATAACAAGTAATTCAGTTTGCAAGTTTAGAAGTAGAGTAGAGAAGGTTTCTGGGGAGGACTCCTGTATAAAGGGACGGGTATATTTATCATTTCTCGCTTCGGAGTGTAAATTGCACATTAATTTTGGGTCTTGAAGGACGTATGTCCTGGGTAAGCTCCTGACCAATAAAAAGTGACTTAGACGCTCGTCGGAAAATTAAAATTTTAAAACCTTCTAGAGACCAGCGTGGGTCAGCAGACCATGACAGAGGATTAGCAGTCCTTTACTTAATGATTATTAATGCACGGGATTTCACGTGCTTTATTTAAAAAATAATTGCATTTTAATTTGTCTAGGTAATAATATACACGAAAAACATGACTACAACAACAAATTTTGACAGCGCGCGCGTTTTTAGTTCATTCACTGATTGGCTGAAACAGACTACTACGTTTGTCGAATTTAAACTTTTTCAAGACCAACGCTTTCAAAATCATTCAGCTAAGAACTTGGAAATGTGCAAGGATTGATTTCACACCAGCCTGTTAAAGATAACTCGGTTTACAACAATCAGCAAAAGTAAGGGTTTTTAGAATCATCCTCGATTATGAAAGCGTTTACAAAAGATTCCCAATTAAAAGATTCCCGCTTTTTAAGATTCCCCACTTTAAAGATTCCCACTTTTAAAAATTCCCAGTTTTGAAGATTCCCCGTTCCCCGTTCCCCACTCCCCATTCCCATTTCCGATTCCCCGTTCCTTCTTTTAAAGATAGCCCCAGTTAGAGCTCAGCACGTCACAAGATTCGACCAATCAGAATGCGTCATTTATAGAGCGATTTTCGCGCTTGGAAAGAGCGGTTTTCAGAGGTATATGTGGTGAGATTTTCGCTTTATTCCAAGCTTGTGCTTGTAATTTCGACACTATACTGCCGAGGAAAGTTGTTGGAAAACTTTAACTTGATAATGGTTGCGTTATTTTTAAATACTTTGCTTTCTTGAGCGTCTGTGACAAGTTTGAAGGCTTTCTACTCTTCAATTCGAGTCTGAAATAAAGTTTACTGCTATTTTCACTTAACGCTGGATTCGATAAAAAACTCTATTTGCCATCGCAACTCAACTACAATGAACGTTCGAGAGCACAAAATACTACTTCCGCTCCACCGCTACACCGCATATGCAATGCAGTCTCTTAGCTTCTCTTACATCCCTAGGCAGTAGTAGCCTGTTTACAGACCCTCTATTTTCTCTTGAGGGCTCAACCATTTGACTTTTGAAGGGGGGAGGTAAGGGTGTTTTGGCTTGAGTAAGAATTTTTTCCCCCAAATCTCTGGAGGTAGAATCTTTTTTCCTGACATATAAAGGTGTGAGATTTTGTTCAGCATTATACGCCATGTTGAAAATTTTTAGGAGTGCAGGTGTCTCCTTGTAAGATATCTTTTTCTCTCGAAATCAGTCGCCAGTATATTTTGTTTCTGAAATCACCCATCCTCCCTTAAAAATGAAAATGTCGGCTACTTAGAGATCATCGAGCGTGAATGTAAATAAAAACCCAGGGGAGTTTATTAACCGCTAGAGCGTAAGGGGATGGGGCCCTCGTTCTCGCGCTCCGCGCTCGCTTCGATCGGGTGCTCGTCGATTTTCGAAAGGAAAAAGAAAGCAACGTCGGGTATAGGCTAGGGCAGTTGCATGAAAAGCTGTTTGGCAACTAAACGCTTCTTTTCATAGCATTTTACTATAAGTAGTTTTGGTGTTAATAAAATCAAACTAATTGAACAACAAAATTCCGCAAGAAAGGCTCAGTCTTTTAATTTCCCCTAATATCCTGCAGTGTACATAAAACATCACCAAATCCTTCTCAGGTCGCATGTTTCTATATTCGCCAAAAAAGGCACAAACCAACGGTGAACCACTTACATAGAAAACAATCGGAAATTGCTTCAAACGTATGATATATTGATATGTTTTTTAATTTAATTTCAGAAGGTTAAGACTTCTTCACCTGTAGTCTTGCGACGTCAGACATGCACTCGACTTTAATTGGCGTAAGTTGCAAACCGCGGACGTCAGCCAGATTTGATCACACCCTATTTTCGCACGCAGATACAAGCACACAAAAACGAAAATTCTTTTTAGGAAAAGTGAATTATCTGAAAAAGGAAACTCCTTTAGCTACAGTTTAGAAATTCTTAATTCTGCTCAATTTTATTGCAGAACTGCTCGCCGATAAACCCTCACAACAAATTTAAAACATTACGAGAATTAAATTGGCCTTCACTTTGACAGGTGAGACAGATATGAAATTATTAAACTGCAAACTGTTTTATTAAGAAATAAGCTAGGAGAAGGCTTGTCAGAAACCAAATACCGTCGTCGATACACAAACCACCTAGAAATATATATATTTTTGAATTCAGACATAATTTAAACAGTCGCCGAAGAGAAAGGAAGTTCCAGAACTGATCAATATCACATCACACTAATATACCGTTCAGGGTAATAGTTCTTATACTCGGTACTAGAACGAAGCTAAGCAAAAACTTCCATCTAGAGGTGGCTACCTTTTGGCTCAACGGTTTGATCTTTCTAACTATCAATGTTTTGATGGTGACATCCAACTCTGAATTCTGCGCCCTCGTTTTCAAAGCTCAAGTTGGTAAGTAAAAACACCTGTTCGCAAAAAAAATGTTTTAGCCTACTTCTTGTAGTTTTATAACACTAAAAATTCCACCTTCTATCCATACAAACAGAAATTTAACAAATTTTAACATTTCAAATAATGAAAAACAGTTCATTTGGCCAATTTCAATATGATTTATTTAATATATAAAACGTTTTTCCCCTTTACGAAGCAACAGGAAGGCATATCGTCTTACCTCGGAAGTAGATGTGGAGGGTCTTGAGTATCTTCGAAAATTTTAGAAGTTTCCTTCTTAAGGTCCTCTTAAGATCCACTGGACTCTGAGATTCGATAAGATACAGCTGTAAGCTCTCATTTTTCCACAGTTCCCTCGTTCACTCGTATTGCCATCCGTTGCAGTTTTTCTTTCGCAACAGTAATAATCTAAGTATCAGGCTTGAAACTCCAAGATACTATCGTCGAAACAGACGCTGAAGTTTTGTTTACAAACCGACTATTAGCATATTCTGCCGGATAGGTAAAGGACATTTTTCACATTTTTCCTCCCATCTTTTACTTTCTCTTGTACTTTTTTTACCCGGTTCAAATAGCCCTTCAAGCTCGGAGTCCGCCCCCTGCCCCCATCCTGTGTTGGTACATCAAACCAGACTTGGAGATTTATTTTTTAATGATGTAATATGTGACTTGAAACTGAAATTTTCACCACAAATTTCGGACGGAAAGATCTGAGGAAACAA